CCCCCCCCCCCCTTCGCCCCCTTTCTTTTCTTCTTTCTGAATGATCAAGCGTCAGCAGTAAGTGCTAGTGTCGGATTATTCATCCACTCAATGATGCCCGTTCCCGTCTGGCTGTCGCAGCCAATGCACCCACCAGTGGTTTTTGTGACCCAGCGTGTATAGATTTCCTGGTCAGCTGCCATCACCATGTTCTCAACAGTGAAATTAAAATCACCACGGATAGGATCACTAATGCTGATGAGCCATCTCTCCACGTCTGTTCCGAGAGCAAGCGGTACCGTGACATTGGCACCTTGAGGAGCGACTTCAATGACAGAACTAGCACAGCTTGCAATAATCGGCTCTCCATTTTCCGAAAGATAAGCACTGGCGGTAACGCTCAATTCCGCGTCGATGTGATAGAAGTAAACGAGAGAGTAGTTGCCAATACTCGAGTGGCCCCAGTACCATTGAGTGAGATCTGATGCAAAGGGAGCTGTGCCCCAATTCTGTAACTTCTTGTTAGGACAGATGACATCAATAAAGGTGGGCACGACGAGATACCTGATCATGATATCCAGACCCCGAAAAGGACAGCTCAGTCCCATTGACAAGCAGGTCAACTGACGCATAGGAATCCGGAACAGCGTTGGCCCAGTAGAGGTAGGGAGCGAATTCGAAAGACGCGCCAGGCAATCTGAGTCCACATGCCACGTGAGCAGGTGCCCTAGAACGCATCGTGATCTTGCCAGAGACGCCAGCTTCGGGCAAATCCAATGTCAGATGATAAACGCTCAAGTCCGAAGCGCCAAACCAACTCATTGACCCAGAGTCAACATATCCTTGAGATCCTTCCCCAATTGTGGTAAGCTGTAGGTCACCAACAGGGATCACATTGGCATATGAAGTTCCGTTGGGCCAAACAATGTTCAAAAGCACCGCGTTCGACTCGGAAAACCATCCGGGGTAGAACTGGGCTACCAAGGTTGCGTTGGAATCCTGGGCAACAGCATCGAAATACCACCACTGGTACGCAGAGCCGTTATTGACCGTAACTTGAGGGCCATCGAAAGCTGCCTTGTCCACCACCTCGTCTGCGCGAGCAGTCCCGTCGAATTGCCCAGACGGTATCACATACGCTCTTGGCTCGGAATATGCCAGTGCGCATCTGGTCAGGGCCAAGACGGCCAAAGCTGTCAGCTTATAAAATGGCATTGAAGGCAATAGATAATGGGTTAGGGAGGCTGTTTGTGCTGAGTATAAGGAGATAGGCAAAGGAAGAAAAGAAGGTCTTTGTCATGGTACCATCTTTGGTATTTATATTCGTGTCTTCAACCTGAGAGATGCCGGCATAGCCTAACGACCGAGATCCAGTCGGACATGAAATGGTCTGGGTACCACCGGACCATGAAATGGATTCCGAGAGGCCGTCCTTTGTTGCGTCCTCTTGAGATTCTTTAGACTGTTGGATAGAACAGATCGACCAATGCCAAGACATTAGTAAGCGGTCTAATTGATATCTGCAAGTCCCTATGCAGACGCAGCACTCCCCTTTGCAATAACCGTTAGATATATAGTAGGCATTAATGGTTTAAAGTTACTTAACCACATTCCGTAAGACGTTCCCGCGATTCCGGGAATCGGTATATGCGTGTCCCGCCTTATAGCGATGTACATAAGAGCGTTGAATCGCGCTTAGTAATCGGAGCTGCCACAAATCCCTGGGTCGAAATTTCAGGTTGGTTACTTGCCTAGGTATTTGGGGTATAACTCTCATTTTGGCGGATACGATACTAATTTACCAGCCTCTACCCATAGAGTATCGTACCTAGCTATCATCCATCATGACAATATCGAAAGCGGGCGGTGACGCGTACACAATGTGGCTGCGCCGGTATTGATGCCGTGCCATGACACCAAATATGCCATGATCCAAGGCGATCTTAGCTATTGAATCACGGCTAGATCAGATTAATGGTGCTCAATTGACTTCGGGTGCTTTTTTCTCTTTGTTTGAACGGAGGTTTTGTATCATGTACCGGCTTAAAGAAACGCTTGTAAAGTGTTTTTGCAAAGGAAATCCGATTCTGGTATACATGCGCACACATCCGTTTAGGCACCCATCCTACACACGTTCTGAGGATAGAAAATCACTTGGGAACGAAGAAGAGGTCGAATCACCACATGTGGATTGCTGTATATGCGACGGCTTGCTTAACACTTTGGCGATGCGACCGAGAGAAAAACATATAGGCCGACTCCTATGACAGTAGATTGCCATATATGCTCCTGTTGGATTGTAAAATAAAAATATGCCAGTTATTACATTAGTTGAGCTTGACTCTCTTGGGGATAGAATCTTATTATCATAAATGAATCATGCTGCTCGACTCCCGTGTGAAATGACAAACTCCCAAACCTGCCTGGTCCAAATACCATGTAATCTCCAGTAATAACTCCCAAGCCAGAATATTTCAAGTGATAGCAGCAAGCTGGTTGTCCTTCTGGCGGTCCGTCTCTCGCTTTAACATGAGTAGACATCCCGCAACAAGTACCGCCTCAACCTCCTCGACAACACCACTCTTCTCCCGGCCCACCCAATCTCCAAGATCGAGCATCAAACGCCCGCCATTGCCGCCAACCCATCTCTTCTTCGAGCCCTGCGCACGGTACTCTTCATTTCTAATCAGCTGAGCGATCCGGACGCGCGAGTCCTTCTTGGACGACGAAGAAGCATTGGTGGGGGCATTGGGTGAGTCAAGCCGGTCGCAGACCAGCAGCGAATCGGCAGCATACTCCTTTTTCTCCGACCTCTTACCATAGCGCCACTCGAACTTGCCAAACGGTGAGACCATGCTAGCGGAGCGCGAGGTGATGAAATGCGTCTTGACCTCGAACTCGTTGGCTATATGCTTGTCCTTGTCGACGGCATCGGCAACCGAGATTTGCTCGTTAGGTCCGTAGATGCGCATGTGCGGGTCACGGCCAGGCCCCCATCGGTAGACTGTGGAGATCAGGGGGGTCTGCGCCGGGTCATCGCCGCGTACTAGGGCGCACGAGTTGGAGTTCTTCTTGGGCCGCACCGAGATGTACTCGGGCTGCTCGGCGCGCTCAAAGGGCAAGTCAGGCGTTGCGCCTGGATGCATGCGAAACACGGGAATAGCCTGGTCGCCGTTCCAGTTGCGCGAGTTGAAAACGTTAAGGTCAAAGCCTAGCGTCTCAATGGCCAGGTGGATCGTCGGGTTGAAGCCCGGGGCCTGCGAGATGACGGAGCCGATACTAACGGCGTCGTATGCCTTCTCATCGGTTAGGATGTGGGGCCCTACATTGGCTGTATTATAGCTGGCTGGTGCATAGCTGGGAGGGTCTTCATCTGGCGGGAGGTTTAGAGCGGGAGGAGCTTTCAAGTCCATATTGTGTGTCTCGATATAAAGTTGGATTTGATGGACAAATGCCTTAGGTGTTGATAAGTGTCTGCTGACTGTGTGCTGATCAGTGTTTATATGGTAGATCGCTCGAACGGCTGAAGATCTCAAGTGCTTACACGGATCCTCATACTTTCTGCCTGTCAGACGGAATGACGTCGGTGTGCTAGGCTGTGTTCCGCAACGCCAAAAAGGTTGAAATTTAAAATTTAAAAATAAAATAGAAAAAAAGCGTATTATTATTATTATTGTTTATAATAAAACGTTTAATAGTAATTAATATATTACATATTGCTATTTAAATGAATTTTTGTAAGATTAAAAATTCAGTATAACAGCGTTGGTATGGCATTCGAGCCCAGTCAGGAAAGGACTAGGTTCTAATACAGGGCTGACACTTTTCCCCAACGGTAGCAATTACTGCGCAGAGAGAGCAATCTTGGTCTCGCCTGGACGACTGAGGTGCTATCAGATCGCCTTCCTCGGGAAATAATCATCGAAAGCATCGCTGTTTGTGACAACAGCTTCGCAACCGACAACGCGAATATTTGCACTTTACTTCATAAGGTTTCCGAGATCATACTCAGGCGCCATACCATTACCCGCCGCCTCCATCTCCAGGTAGCCAGGGGCATATTGTTCAATGGCATTTTCCCAGAGATCCGTATCCACATCATTCTCCATAAACCTCTCCTTCTCTTTGAGCAGGTCAATGATCGGTAGCTCCATGTCAATACTATAGTCAGATCAGCATCCGGAATTTATGATTCCAGAGTGGTAGATATGAGCCGTACGCTGCGTTTGCGTCGCAATCACCGTCACCGTGCTCGTAGTCCCTGATAACACGATCGGCGTACCAGCCTATCCCCATGATATAACCATATGCCATCGAGGTCCAAAGTGGCCATATACGAGAGGAGGCTTTGACTTGACCATTGGCCTCGAAATCGCACAAGAGCAGGCGGCCGGTATCAAGCGATTCTTGATCCGCGAAAAACAATCCCCTGTCCTGTTTCTGAAAGACAATTGTGCCCTGAAGCGTCATGGCCATGTACTCAAAGTCGGCCGCTTCAACGAAACAGTGAGCCATAAAGGTTTCGGGCGTGACCGGGGCGTTGTCTGCAGGGTTAGAATAAATCACGACTACTCTTTCAGGCCCAAAACTGTGTTCGTATTCGTCCATATCCAGTCGATATAGCAGAATGCACAGCTTTACCCATAATGCACGGTTTCTCGAGTCAAGGGGCTGCTGGACGATAAGGTTGACAAAGCCGCGCTGGATATAGCCCACTAAGTCGGGATCAGGGCTTTTAAGTTGAGGCGGATCCCAACTGTCAGCTCCCTGAGGCTCGGGAGCTCTGCTATGGTACGAGTCCCTGTCCGCCTGGGTCATGGATGCCCATTGGTCTACGAGCTTGCGTCGCTGCTTGATTTCGAAGTCTGCCTCAATGTTGCTGGAGTCGCGGGGCACAGCATGTTCCTGGAGTTGGCAAATTAATAAAGTAATCTTTTTCTTTTTTACCTCCCCTGCGAAAACGCCACACACCTTGAGAAACAATAGCCAACCCTTGACTGTATTGCTCCAGAGGCCAGTGATGATTCCAGGATGGCATCGAATATGGGCAGGGATTCCGCCTGGCCAGTAGTTGAGAGGGTTTGACATTTTCTTTATTCGCAATCCCTTTGAGTGTCCGTGTAATTTATCAAGTCGTATAACTGTAATAGCAAATGTGTCGCGACCATGAGGCTGAGTCTTGACTCTAAAGAGTGCCCACTGTCGGGCGCGTCTGCATGCCTAAAAATTAAAGTCGTGTTTGGAGGTTATGCGCTAACTACTACCTAGTATGTACCTAGGGTAGCCTAGGGCTAGACAGGCAGCGCCAGTTCAGTAGATACATAAGACTGCATGGTGGTACACATTACATACTTCGTCCAAAAGGCGGTATCAATTTGATGTTAATACTTACAACTTGAACCTTCAGTATAACAATTGGTGTTTACATGTGGGTCTATCATTGAATCATGAAATAGGTATATGGATGGTCTACGAATTTTTATCCTTCAATTCTGTTCATCATATCGATCCATGTCACCATCGCTTAGACTTTCTCGCCAAGCACAAAGCCAAGCACAAAGCCAAGCATGATGCCTGGGCGTTTTCTTTTTGTGCCAAGTCATGATCCCCCCGCGTCTTTGCCCACTCAGGCAGCTGACTATGCATGTCGCTATCATTCGCCTTCTATCAGGCATATCGGAGGGTGGTGATGCTTGATTGAGCCGCTTCGCCGCCGCGATGCCAGCAGTGCGCAATCTAGGGCCGTCCTTGGCGATGGCAACATTGAGAAGCAATTCTCTCAATTGCGCAATGAATTTTTCATATATAAGCGAGGACTTTGATAACTGAAGCCCCCAACTCTGGAACTCAGAAAATCAGTGAGCACCCTTGTCACTTTACAGGTTCCACGATGAGGCTCTCAAGTGTCTGTGTAGCATTTCCCCTGTTGACTGGTGTGCTTGCATCGTCAGAAGAGCAGAGCAAGCCCGCTGTCACCTCAGAGGCCATACAAGAACTCATCCTCCTCGAAGACTTGCTCGCTGGCTCGCAAAAGCTTCAGGACTTTGCCGACGCCAATGGCGGGACTCGCGTCTTTGGCAGCGCTGGGCACAATCTGACGGTGGACTATCTGTACGACACGCTCAATGCCCTCGACTACTACGATGTGTTCAAGCAGCCATTTGTGGAGCTCTTCTTTGAGGGAAACGCCACCCTCGTTGCGAATGAAGTGGACTATGCACCGGGCGTCATGAGCTACAGCCCATCGGGTACTTTCAGCGCACCGCTGGTTCTAGTCTCCAACTTCGGATGCGATGTGGCGGATTTTCCAGCAGAGGTTTCGGGCAACATAGCCTTGATATCTCGAGGAAACTGCACGTTTGCCATCAAGGATACTAGTGCGCAGGCCGCGGGAGCAGTGGCTGCTGTCGTGTACAATAACGTCGACGGGGCCCTGACTGGCACATTGGGCAGCCCGAGTGATTCTTTTGTACCAATCGTCGGTATATCCCTGGAGCAGGGTGATGACCTCATCACTGCATTGGCCGAGGGCGAGGTGGTGGCAGAGCTTGTTGCAGAGTCGACCATTGAAAATCGAACTAATTTCAATGTGATTGCGGAAACGAAGAGTGGCGACAAAGACAATGTTCTTATGCTCGGTGGCCACACAGATTCAGTAGCAGCCGGGCCTGGTATCAATGACGATGGCTCGGGCACAATTGGCTCGCTCACCGTTGCGGTTGCTCTGTCAAAATTCAGCATCAATAATGCGGTGCGCTTTGGATTTTGGGGTGCTGAAGAGTGTAAGTATGAAGGGCTTGTGCTTGTTCCTTACCTTCTATTTTGTTTTGCCCTTCGCTTCTGAAGAAACCTTGACGTTTCCTCGGATTTCTATTTGTTGGAAAGTAAAGCGCAAAAAGCTAACATTTTCAATCCACAAGATGGCAAGCTAGGCTCCTACTATTATATGAATCAGCTCAATACCTCAGAGACTGAGGTTGCCAAAATCCGAGCATACCTCAACTTTGACATGGTGAGACACACAATTTTGGGCTTCATGACAATAAATACTAATGCGACCAAAAGATTGCCAGTCCCAACTACATGAACGGTATTTATGATGGAGATGGTAGTGCATTCAACGTCAGCGGCCCTGCTGGCTCGGCCGAGCTCGAAAAGACCTTTCAGGACTTCTTCCGGAGCAAGAATACCTCGTCCGTGGACGCCCCGTTCAACGGTCGATCCGACTATGCCGCCTTTATCGAAAACGGCATTCCTGCCGGGGGCATCTTTACGGGCGCCGAGGGCATCAAGACGGCCGAACAGGCCTTTCTCTTTGGCGGCGAGGCGGGCGTCGCGTACGATGTCAATTACCACCAAGCAGGGGACACCATTGACAACCTCGCGCTGGATGCGTACCTCCTCAACACAAAGGGGATAGCGGATGCAGTGGCAAAGTATGCGACCAGCTTTGATTCGTTGCCGGCAGTAGATCTTGCCCAAAGGAAGAGGGCGGCTGTAAAGACCAAGATGTTCAGTAGGGCAACGTCAGGTCATTCGCATGCGAACTCGGGCCCCTGCGGACATGCTCTTGATGTCGTGTGACGCTGAACTAGTGAAAGTCTCGCAAGCCAATTTCCACTACGGCTCAGCGTACCTAGGTAGTATGTATTTATTCACTAGAGAGTAGCGGCGCCAACTATAGAGCAACAAAAGTTCTTGGGATACGACCCTTACTTTTTCTTTTCTAGTATCTCTTTCACATGTGAAATTTTCACGCAATGCGCATTTCGGATTGTTTCTTACCCGATCAACCCGTGATTCTGTCGTGGTGGACTGGTGGAAAAAAAGGTAGTGACAATGACGGCTTGTCGCAACATTGCCAAGGCGGATGGTTTGCTAAGGTGACCCTTTGCTAGAACATCACCCACCACATGCCGGAGTTGCAAGGGGTCAGATCATGTCATATCATGTCGTCCTCACACAACTGTGACTGGCAATTTTGAAAAGAAAAAAAGAGAAGTAATGACCAAAGAAGGAAATCAAATGCAAGTGAATTAGTGCGGCAGTATATGATCTAGAAGGATTTGCGGGTCCTATGATTTAGATGGGCACAAAACATACAAGTCAACTGGTCAATTGGGAATGCTGCCTGCCTGGGTCCACATTGGAAGCTTCCATCGAACCCGATTCCAATTGACAAATGGTTCGGCCCGCGCTTGGTCCTCTTTGAGAAGAATAGCTACCGATACTGAAAGACGTTTTCTTCATGCACATCCATCCAGTCTGAACGTCGGCACTCAAGGGTCCCGGATCCATCAGGTCCAAGATGATGAACTGTTTTGCGGGGTAGGTAGCGTGGGCGGGGCAGAAAAAAGAAGGGTAGGATTCCACGTCGGAAGAGTGGCTTTCCTAATAAACTATTGAACGATGTGACACCATAAACGGGAATGATCATCACCACTGCCGACTCTATTGCCCCTTCTGTGAACCAAGGCGCAGAAATTTCAGCCAATTGGGCGTCTTGCCGACCAGCTGGTCCAGCTGTATATGCAAGACTCAACCCGGTAATTGTATTTCTGTAGTGTAAAGGAGGTTGCTCGAATGACACTCTGATTCTCCATCAAGCGAAATGACCCGCATGCTGTCAGCTGCGCAGAAGCCGGATCTGGTGAACGCCGTTGTCGATCGCATGAATGAAGGAATTAATTGGCATTTTCCTCAATTGTTGAATTCTGGGTGGCCGAGGGACAAGCCCTCTAGGTCGTAATGCATATTTCTTCATGATACTTAAGTGTCTTGTCGCCCTCACACATGGGCGTCGTGTGTCCCAGTGCAAGCTCCCGGACTCTTTCGGCGCTGTGGCATATACATGATACCTGAATTTACATCAGTGATACTATATCGACTGATACGAAAATGCTCTTCCGGGCGACCTTGTCAGCCCTGGTGCTAGCCACCGAGATCCTTCCGACGTACGTCTTCTTGTGTTACTGAAGCGCTAACGGGAAACTGATCTTGTCTCACTCACAGCGCGGCCGCTGTACAACATCACAACCCAATCTTGCCAAAACGGCAGACCCCAGACAGTGACTATGACTATGTTGTAGTCGGATCTGGACCTGGAGGAGGTCCCACAGCTGCGAATCTGGCAGTTGCTGGCCACAAAGGTTTGTTTTCTTTTCGCAATTATACGTCGTAGCATATTAATCTCCGTGGTTAGTGCTGCTCATCGACGCCGGCGGCGATTCGGGAGATGCGCTAGTCGAGTCGGTGCCCGTCCTCTTTCCGTTCTCAACCGAGTTTGCGGACACAGAGTGGGACTATTTTGTCACTCGGTCTTCAGACCCGACTGTCCAGGCCCAGGACTCCATCACCTCGTACCGTTTGCCCGACGGAAGCATCTATACGGGGCTTGATCCGCCTACCGACGCCGTGGCCATCGGAACACTGTACCCACGTGCTGGCACTCTGGGCGGGTGCTCTCGACACAATGCTTTGATCGCCATCCGCGCCTTTGACAATGACTGGACCGTAGTGGCCGACAAGACTGGTGATGAGAGCTGGTCTGGAGCGACGTTTCAGAGGTTGTTCCAAGGCATTGAGCACTGCGATTACCTCCCGAACTCCATTGTCGGGCATGGCTTTGACGGCTGGTTCTGGACAGAGCTGACCTCTCTTCTTACTGCTGTCCAGGACCTCAAGGTTGTCAGTATCATTGTGGCGGCTGGTGCTGCACTTGGGAAGGGGTAAGTCAGCACGCCTCCCTGGGGCGAGGATTTCATCCTTTGTAATTTTTATATTGACTTGCGATTCCAACAGTATTCTCGGAACCTTAATCGGCACGGTCGAGGGTCTGGCAGAAATCCTGACTCAGGACGTGAATGCCCCGGGCCCAACAATCGCCCAAGGGCCATTCCAGATTCCCCTGAGTATGAAGAATTCTGTTCGTGGTGGAGCAAGAGACCACATTCTCGAGGTTGCCAATGCTGTGAATGCAGACGGAAGCAGAAAGTACCAACTCGACATCAAGCTAAACACTTTGGTCACCAAAATTCAGTTTGATCAAAGCGGCGACGTGCCTCGGGCCACGGGTGTAGAATATCTCGAAGGACAGAGCCTCTATCGCGCAGATCCGCGATGGCCAAGCGCTAGCGTCTCCGGCGAAGGAGTGGTGAATGCTTCTAAAGAGGTCATCATTGCTGGCGGAGCGTTTAACACACCTCAAATCCTCAAGTTGAGCGGCGTTGGGCCTCGGGCTGAACTCGAAGACTTTGATATTCCCGTGATTGTTGACCTTCCCGGTGTTGGTGCTAACCTCCGTGGTAAGTGATATTTTTGAACCGTTGAGATGGATAATCTTGGAAAAATGGCAAAAACATACTAACATCTTTTATACAGACCACATTGAAGTGTCGGTCATTTCGCAGGCTTCCTCAAACTTTAGCATCCTGAATGGATGCACCCTTGCTCAAGGATATCCGGAAACACTCGATCCGTGTCTTGAGAAATATCTCAACGGTGTTACCCAAACCGATAAAGGAGTATACGCAAGCAACGGGCTAGCCGTGGGTGTGTCTCTTCGTTCGAGCGCTGCAGATGCTGTTGATCCTGATCTCTGGGTGGTAAGCAAACTCCCATCTATATCTTGGCTGTTGGGTACGCCTAGAGACAATGTGGCTAACTTGAGAAATTCTAGTATGGAGGACCTGCTAACTTCCCTGGCTTCTTCCCACACTGGGCCGAGCGCGCAGTTGCCGATCACAAGCACTGGGTTTGGGTCAGTCTCAAGGCCAGCACAAAGAACCGCGGCGGCAGCGTCAAGCTGGCCAGCAATGACCCACAAGATATCCCCGTCATTGCATTCAACACGTTCGAGGACAGCCTCTCTGCTGACCAGGACCTGCAAGCCAGCTACGAGGGAATCAAGTTTGCACGAGATGTGATGGACAAGGTGCTGCCATTGGACGGCACTTTTGAAGAGGTGACGCCGGGCAGATCCGCCGCATCCACCGAAGACGAAGTCAAGGAATATGCCAAGACCCAGAGCTTTGGTCACCACGCATGCTGCACAGCCGCGATTGGCGGTGATGATGACGAAGGAGCAGTTCTTGACTCGGCTTTCCGGGTTCGAGGCACAACCGGCCTCAGAGTCGTAGATGCCAGTGCCTTCCCGGTTGTTCCCGGCTTCTTTATAGCGCTTCCAACGTATCTGCTTGCTGAAAAGGCCAGTGAGGCAATCTTGGCTGATGCTTAGGTAACTTTATGATTCAGCAGATATCACGAGATAATGATTGTAGGGGAATAGTTGTACATATATCAACCATTGGGGTTAGTAGCTTATGATAGTAACTAATATTAATGAAAAGTTTCCAGCGACGGTTGATCACACCAAAAAGGCCATAGACGTGGTGAGCACCGTTGTTTGCTATACAGACGCCGGTATGATGGGCCAAAAGGCACGGCGAGTAGCTCCGGCATAGTTGCAAGAGGTATATAACTATAGATTGATTGTGTTAGGTAGATTTGCCGAAAACTACGGCAGCCTGGCTACAGTAACAGTGACAAAATATTGGTAACTATATCAACGCTCTCAGCTGCCCGGAACATGAAAAATGGTAAAATGTCCTCGAAGGTGACAAGAACAAGAAGCTCGGCATGATGACTGGTCACCTTGCATAGGTACATAGACAAAGTTTGGAAAATGCACCGGGAATGCTTGGCCCCCGTCTCGAAGTCACAGATTTCTGGTCAGGGCACGCGATCACACCTGGCCAGGTGCGAGACTGCAAGTCACTCTTTGAGGAGACGCGTCATCGGAACAAAGAGGGAGAAGAGTGATTTCCTTGCATCATCACATTTACCTACTTTACAGGTTATTTTATAATGCAGCCGCCAACTTTCTGTCCCAGACTCCCACATGTGAATTTTGAATAAGTCGAGTGCTATATATTGATGTTGGGAACTATGAGACCGAATTGCAACTCGAGTGGATTGTGCCATTTTTTTTTTCAATCACAGGCCCTGCGAAGAATACTTGCTGAACCGAATGTTTGCTGAAAGAAATGCTGCCTCCGAGTTAGTATATCTTTGACATTGGTCAGTAGGCATATTAGTATTTGCTTTTCGTATTCGAAATCAGTGAATTGATTCATAGGGTTTTTTTTTTCGGTCATGCTTGGATGTAGTTCGGAGTTGTATTACAGGTGCAATGCACAGATATTGTTACAATATTGGTATATACAGTACGCTTCACCACGCCAAAACGTTGGAGTAGGTGGTGGAAATGCATCGACCATTGCATTACCAAGTATAGTACGGTCTCTGTGCTGTAATCGGCCTGTTGGGCAGATGTACCCAAGGCTTTGCCTTTGCCTCCTTCTTGAGTTTATCGTCGTACTGTCGTAACCTTGTCTTCTCCTCTTTCAGGATAACGGTGAAGTCTGTTGCTCTTGTTAGTCATCAGATTGCATGCGTCAAGAGCCAATGTTGAAACTTACGTGCAGAAGGCTTCATCATTCTGCTCATTCGGCCTCTTGCGTGGTACTGTATCCTCATGCCTCGCGGTGGACCCTTTCCAACCCAAGCCTGGTCAATGTATAAACTTGTCGGGTCAGAGACCTCCATCCAATTGCCTTCCTTGTCCTGAATTTTGCGAGGCTTCTCCATAATTTCTCCATTGACTTGGCCGAGAGCCATGCCACGGCTCACAATGGCCCTGTCTCGAGCCTCCTTCAGTAGAAAAGCGACCTCGGAGGCAGTCTTCTTCTTGCTGTATCGCATCTGCGTCAGGGCATCGTCGAGGGTCTTTCCCTGGATTTGGCGCGTCAAGAACATCAGTTTCTTGGTGCTGGTGTTGAGGTTCTCGCTCTTTTGGGTGACTTCCTTCTCGGTCATCTTGATTTGCTGCTCCTTGGTGACCTTGCCGCCGTTCCGCACCATCTGCATGACCTTCTTCCGCTGCCAGCGAATTCTCCATCGGGGATCGGGGTCGAGCGCGCGCGCCATGTGCTCCTTTGCGCGAGAAGGTCCAGAGTATGCAGCGCCGGGGCCGCCCTCCTTTGCTCTGCTGGCATCGTCCACCTGCTTGATTTCCTCGTCGAAAACAGATTCACCAGCCGTCCGGTCGGCCATCTTGTCAAAGATCTTCTTTTCTCGCTCACGCTTCTCGAGCTCCTCTGACAACGGTGACTTTTTCTTGGAGCCTCCGCCCCAATTGAACCATGATGCCGATCGTTGTTGCGTATATGGGAGAAGACTTCCAGACCGGGCTGAACAAGACTACATCAGTAACGAAACAGAACACGGTGCAATTCATGAGTCCATAGCATAAATGGCTTACCAGTCTGCACCAGCCTCCTGGCTGGAAAGTGTAGGCTCATGGTGGCTGAAATGAGTCTCCCCTTGCTCGCATTCAACAACTGGCAGCCGTCGCGAACTGGAACATGAGCTCCAAAAAATTGAGGTCCCTTGGCCTGGCTCGGACGGTCGCGGATGGGTGGAGACCCACTAAAAGAAGGAAGCCGATGATTCACCAGCCAATGAGGCTGCGTCTGAATTCAATTTGGTCTTAGCGTATTTCCCGAGCTTGTGCTGGAGCTGTGCAATTCCAATTGAGCCGGATCCCAGCGCGAATAACGTCAATTCATCGTTCGATTCTTTTGCCGAAGCAAAAACACCAAAGTACCGTCATTCCGACTTCTCCGACACTCGACACATCTCCCCTCAGACAAAACCGACAAAATGGCCGGCGCAATCAAGCCTATCACTGGTGTACGTTCCTTGGGCGCTCTGTCCCAGCCTCAGGTCATGCCGAATCCACCGGATTACTGACATTGAAATGCAGATGCTCAAGAAGGGCCTCGTCACTGACTTGGCCATTGCCCTGGGTACGTTCCTCCCAACATCTCCGAAAGCCTTCGAAACTCAATCATCAGCGGGTCTGGCCTCAGGACGGCGCGCTTGGACTGTTCGGTCGAATTGGCCGGTTTGGCGGGATATGCGCTGACTGAAAAATATAGGCATTGGTGCTACTATGGGTAGCCTCTTCTGGTACGATTGCCCACCTGCTCTTATACATCCACGGATATGAGGCGACTATCGATTTGGAACGATTTTATCTGACTGGAAAATAGGCACGGATACCACATGCCCCGTACCATTGCCCGAGACAACTTCTACTCCGCTCTCGAGAAGGAGCGCGCTGCCAAGCAGGGCAACTAAGCGGTGCCACGGAACTGAAAATTCAGGGTGTACGACAAATACCATGCATAGAAACAGTTTTCTTGTGTTCGGAGACCGCATAGACGAAGAAGGGATGGGAGCTGGTTGGGCTGGACGTGTTCAACTGTATTATACCACTTCGACAATCCAGACTTAAACCAGCACATTACGCGCATTCTTTGTGGGAACATTCATCAATCGTGCGACTTCGAATCTAATGAATCGGTGCTGTACGTTCATAACGACACTGAGATATTGATGGCCAATTCCTTGAATGATCCAATATAGGCGATCAGTTTCCTGTCAAGCTGCGCAGGAATTTTGGCACAGCTCAGGCTATTCGAACAAAATCATGTCAGAAACCTTGAGCTGTGGCAACACCACTGTGAATGTTACCTGACCTTTCAGTTTTCGGGAAGAAATCGAGCCTTGGTACATCTCACAACCAGGTATAACACCTATTACATATCCGATGGCATGACGATCACTCTTTGCACAATCTATTCAAAAACACGCACCGACGAGACGCCATCAATACGGGGGATGGGCTCCGTGACTTATACTTGATTTGGTAGAACCTGCAATGTGACCGCTGTAGGTACGACTTCCGTCGTATGAACATCCTGTTCTCGAGAATGTATAAGAAAAAGGCACAGAATTATACTCCTAGACGCCATATACACACAGTACAACCCCATGCGATTGTCCTTGATGATTCAAATTACAGCCTGATATCAGTTTCCAGTGTCATCGCTCGCGATACTGGCCGTCATGACTCATTTCTCGCTCCTTCCATGAATGTAACCACCCTTTGGACTGAGTTGGAGCCTTCTCTGCCTCCACGGGTGGTTCGATAGTCTGAGCTTTTGCGTTGCTCTCCTCCCAATTCGTAGTCTCGACCATGAAAGATCCTTTTTTGTCTTGACATCTGTTTTCTATAGTCAGCCGCCAAAGTTTCTCTTGGTCATGACGTGGGTGATCCCACCGCCCAACCCAAGACCAGCCAGCCCCGCACGAGCCATTGCCAGCAAACACATGGATGAATTTCGCATTTTCCGATTCAACGACGAAACCCGGTTGTTTGCAGAGTCACTTACTTTCTGAACCATCGCTGTACCTCATAACATTGGACCGGGCTGTGCGGCAAGTCTGGCCGTTCAATCTGGCAATCGTACTGCACCATGCTGAACAAGGGACACTGCGATATATCGATATTGCGCCCTCCCTCCGTCTTGCGCTTTCTACCCGTCACCCCCATCTGGACTGCCGATTCAAGCTCATCGGCCTTGAAGACCTTGCAAGGTGGCGTCATCTTCCAAAAGCCGGAATCCCAGGCAGAGGGAGTGGAAACCAGAAGTGTTGGAGGGCGGGGCGAAGCTGAATGATGGATGCAGCAGCGGCCAAGCAAGTCGGGGCTAGGATCCTGGGAGAGATTGAAGAAGAGAGCTTAGAAGAGGTACGTTCTTTACAGGCCCGGCATAAGCAAAGTCGCTCCACCAAGAGATGTATCGAGATGCACAGGACCGAGAGGTTGCAGGGCTTCAAATTCCCAGGTGCCCGGGAAGCTAGTAATTGCTTATCTTATCCACCCGCACTTCTACCGAACCATAACCACCTCACATATGTTTCATTCAACCGGAGCACTGAATGATATCCCACACCTCATTACAGATCTGCTTCGAGCAATATATACATTCAGCAAATCTTGGTTCTAACAAATACCTCAGCTTCTTGACAATCTGCGGACTGCGTCGCTGCCACATTCCCAGGGCCATCCACCCCTCAAACCGCAGATACCCATCGCAGCCCTGTCCACGCTGATTTCCAAACACCATCATGCCGAGCAGTCCACTCCACCGCCCCTGCTGACCATATCCGGTCGTTTTCTCCCTCTGCTTTACCACATTGTATCGACGCTGCTCGCATCGCCGCACCGATACGCCGTCGTGATTGTGGATGCGGACCATCGGTTCGACGTGACGCGCCTACTATCGCCATCGACTCCGGCCGCGGGCAGTTCGGAACAGGATGTCGAGGTTGAGGCGGAGGCAGTGGTGAATCAAGCTCTCCCGGCAAAGCGGCAAGACTTGAGGCATCTCTACGTGTACCGACCAGCGAGATCCCGCTTCCGACCCGGCGTCGAGCCCGCCAATGACTCGCCGCTGCCGGACCAGACTCAGGCGTGCATCGCCGCGGCCCAGCACCATATGCTCTACGGTGCCCATCCTTCGCGGGACCGTGCTTGGTGGGGAACGATCGTCGTGGGCGGCGGTGGCGGCGATGTGAATACGGGATGGAAAGGATGGATGGATGTGCGGCGGACCGAGGTTGCGCCGTTTGGGGTTGGTCTGAGTATAGAGGAGGCATTGTCGGAGAGGGAACGGCGGCACGAAAGAGTGTCAGAGAGAGGCTGGGAGGGCAGGTGTCGCGAAGGCGTGTATAGTTGGAAATGACGAGAGGGATATACGCCGGTCCTCTCCAAACGATACAACAAGATCTAGAGCATCTTCTCTCACGAGAAAATTTATGATGACTTCAAGGAATATCAAAAAATGAACATATCAGTCTTCTTCGTTTGGGAACAATGCCAAATATTTCGAATGACAAAAGCTTCGCGGATATGAATGACATTGTGTATCAACACAAGAACTTTAGTCAAGAGTCCAGATTGATTGTTGAATATGTGTTCAGAATATACATGAATGATTGGAAAATCGATCACAATGTGCAGTTTAATGTATACCCTTGACAACCTTTCGGAGACGCGACAGCGTCAATTTGTACAACGAAAAGAAGGACATGGAAGCCTTCTCATCTACGAGGTCCTAGTCTTTAGATTGAAGGCTTCTTTTCCCATCAGTTTCCGGTTACCTGCTCCAACCATTCCATCATTGACCTGCCTACCTAGTTTCTTGGCCTCTGCTCCGGAATTGTGTCATGTCAGCTAAGATGCCTAATTCCCAGAGTCTGGCTTAGTGTTCAAGGTATTCTGGCCCTCTTTATCTTTACCATAGATCTTGATCACAGTTTCCCTGCTCCTGATGCGTTCGAAATATGACTTGAGGTTGCGGTAGGATAGGTCCCAGTGGCCTTCCACAATGTCGTACAGCACCGGCCAAAAGGCAAAGTCGGCCATACCGATGGAGGCGCCAGCGATAAAGTCGGCTTCGCCTGCGTACACCTCCCAAGGCTCCAGCCATCGCTTCAGATCCGCATGTTCCGCCGTGAGCCGTCTCTCACCAATGTTGAGAGCCTCATTGAACCTCGTCAGGGTGCGGGCGACGTCAGCTCTCAAGGGCGCCTTGTTCTCGTCAGGCTGGTTATAGAATCGATCCAGGTACATCATGATCGCTACATCGCCTTGTACCGTAGACTTTTCTTCGTCGTTGTCCACAAACTTGACGGGAATATCTGCCGTGCCGCTCCGCTCTTGAAGAGCACCGCGGTCGGTGGACACGGGCGCAGAGCTTCCCTTGGCATGGTCAATGCCTAGCTCGGCCAGCATGAGCTGTACACGCATGTTGGCGACTGGATCGCTGCTGGTGAATAATCTTGGCGCCGCAGAAATGTGCAGCACATCAAAACCTGGTCCGTAATGAGCCTGCCAGTCAAAGTCGGTGGACTGGTTCTCCTTGCCAAAAGCCTTGATCATTTCGATTGCCTCAGACGACTGCCCATTGACGACAGCATGTGCCTCGGCTTTGCTTTTGGTCTTGGCTCCTTGACCCCAGATCTTCTTTTGGTTTTGGTCCAGGAAAGTTCCTATCTGCCTGAACGTCAAGGAGATGCGGGCCCCATTGTACGCGAGTTCGTCCGCCGTCTTGTCTCGGTCGAGGCGCTTATCCTGGCGAATGGCGTGGAGCCAGCGCATATTCGTCTGCAAGCCCATTTTGCACATTGAATTGTGCGGCAAGCGAGCTCGCTGAACCTCGCGCTTGGAACCATCCGGCGATGTCCGGGACTGTGCGCCATCTTGCTCCTTTGGCTGTCTCTTGGTCCTCAGGACCATGGTGCGCTCGGCACCAAGGCTCACATTGACAATATAGCTACCTCTGACGATATCCAAAGTCTTATCGCTGTGCTCCGAAATGTAGTCATTGCCGTCTCGATAGAATTGGATGAGAGCATGGTTGAGCGGGTGTCCAACCTTTTTCTCGACCTCGTCTCGGATCTTCTTGACAGTTGCGGTCCATAATCTCAGTGGAGGCGATTCGTCTGCTGGGTGCCGATATACTGGAATATTGCCTTCTGCATCCACCTCGCCCTGAACGGCTACCAGTCGAGGCACCTCACCACCCTGGTGAGACATTCGCTGCCAGTCCACCTCTTCGCGAACCTTGTCAAAGACATCCTCGGCAAGTGGTTGAGGCAGAACATTATAGAGTACCCTAGTGTCACCTTCACACAAAGGTTCACTGGTAGTAGTGTTTGTATCGATTGGTTCCATGTCAAAAGCTTCGTTTCGTTGATATTCTTCGGTCGAATGGATGGGTTCCGCCTGTTTCTGTGTTACCTTTGCACCTTCGCTCGCCCCTTTTATGACTGTTGTATTCGTTTGAGGTAAAGCAGCAACGGGAGTTGGACAATCGCTTTCATTGTTACTTGGCGGTTGGTCGCTTAAAGGCAATGTTGTAGCGTTTTCTTTGCTTGGTGTAACTGATTCAAGATTGCCTCGTGTCTTTTCGACCGGCTTCTCTAGTGTTCCAGCTCGTGCACTACGTTGAGGCTGAGCAGTATCAGCCGCCTTTGTTGGCCCCTCATTCGGTGACTCATCGCCAGAATTGGCATTCAAATCATCATTTGGAGAAGCGTTCATGCTGCCTAGCATATTGAATTGCTCATTGAGGCGCTTTCCAATGTCAGGCAAAGGGCGTGATGGATTTCCACGAATGGCAGTCCGGGCGCGGCTAAATGTGATGGGCGGGAGGCGATCATCCTGGTTATCAGCTAGTGATAATTTGGTCATGGACGATGCAAGATCACTGGGCTTTGACACTGATGCTGCTGATGAAGACGGCTTCGGCCTTGCATCTTCGGTATTTGTGGCGGACGAGCCCTCATAAACCACTGGATATCGCCTTCCCGTGGGGTTGGGTATAGGAGCTGCCATCCGTGGAACCTTGGGCTTGGGTTTCAAGCGATCCAGAATTTGGTCTGTGGACAAGATCTCGCAACCCGTCATTTTTTGAATGCGGTTCAAAGCCGCAGTGTGTCGGTCTTTGTCGCGATAGCTGCAGCAGTCCTCGACAATGCCAATGTCCAACCCATGGCTACCAGCATCAATGGCTGTTGCCATGATGCCAATATTCGTCAGAGAGCCACAGACAAAGACCTCGCTCACAAATTTCATCCTCAACCGTTGTATCAGGTCAGGAATTTGAAAGGCCGAGTAATAAGTCTTGACAAACGACATGTCCTTCTTTTCAATGAGCTGCTGGATTTCAGCAGGAAACTGCGCACCAACGGTTTGTTCTCGCACGCATTCTGGGCGTCCAGGCGCGGGCCCGGAGAGAAAAGCTTCGGGGCATCTTGATGGAGGTTGGTCGTCGCCGCTTGCTGGCCTCCGGCCTCTAGGCCCAGAAGGACGACGTGTGGCTGCAACTGATGGATCTGAGGTGATGATTTGCTCGTTTTTCGGGGGCCGCGGCTGGCTGTACTGGCTCCGGATCCAGACTATGTCGCCATAAGACCGGAAGCCCTTGACAACTCGGATAAGCCTTTCAGTCAGGCCCTGAGGTACAGCCACATGGAGTGCACCTTCGGTAGAAATAAAGTCGTTTTGTGCATCGATTATTATGAGTGCCTTTCTCGTTTTAAGCACTGGGAACAGCGATGGATCAATCCCTTGGAGCATGGTCGCGATTTTCCGTCGACAGCCGAAGCAAGACCCCCCAGCCAGTTCCAATTCGTGTCACCTCAGCGCTCTGTAAACCACAAGCGAATATCTCGGGATTTCGTATAATCCAAAGAGGACATGCAAATAAGAAATGATTCTGACAAGTGTACAAAGCTGCGTCACGCTGTGGATGGGACTGTGTATATGGGCGTGATCTCGCACTTTGCCCGCCAATGTGTCCAGTGCCCGCCAAGCTACTTAGCACGCCATCTAGATGAATCCTCCTGTGCAGGCGATGTGGATCAATGCTGCCAACATGAGCGATGAGGCAAGTGTTGATTTCAGTCAAGAAAAGATAGCCTCAATGACAAGCAAATAGATGCAAATGTAAGACTGTGGATGAAAATCGAGTTGCACGACAGTAACTTTGACCAGCGACTCCGCTGATGCGTGCGCAAGGATTCTTCCCTCTTATCACTAACCGTTAAGCCGTCAAACTGCGGGCACACCGTTGCACTTTTTTAAACTTTGCGGGAGCGCGCATCAACCAGGCCATCATGTTCTTCCAGGGCCTAGCCGTCAAAAAGTTCATCCATGCTACAAGGATTCGATTTCTGCCGATGTGTATTCTCACCACCCGACAAGTTCACATTATAGTCGTACGCATTCTATTCCAGCAAGTTTACATGTCTTTTTTCTATAGTAGAGACAACCAGATCACCATGAAAGTGATCTTGCTCAAGTGGGAGTGAGATGCCACACTTTGTTTTCACACAATGTATACTCTATTTACCATTGATTCAACTATACTTGCCACCACGCTCAGGTATGGTCATGCAAGGTGAATGGTGAATCCAAATTGATTCGTCTCTACCCAATCTAGCTCTATGATACGTCTAAAATCTATCATCTCAACATTTATCTCATTCTCTGATGTGCCCACGATTGAATTCACGTGATACGAGCTTGTTGCCACTTGTCTGACAACCAACGCAATAATTGAGTGGATGGCGGCGGGGAAAATGAACCTTGGAAACTGGAAAGTGCCCAGGTGATCTTGATTAGCCTTGCAAAACCCCAAGCTCTTCAAACTTCTCATTTGACGGAAAGTATTTTGGAAAGTAAGCCACCTAACTCGTGCTCAATCGAACCGAATGATGGACGAGCTGTAACGCTGGTATTGGCACAAGCTGTGTGCAGTGACGCCATTTCATCTGCCACCAGTACCCAGGATTCTGACTCGCTGTGCCCGACCTCGATGAGATTCTTCACATCTTCCATCAGATGTCCAAAAGCAAGAACCTCGAGGCCCTCAACGGCATAATCTTTGTATATGGAAGCAGCGCCAAAATCGCCTAGCAGAGCATGGCCCTCGTCTTTGTATAGTATATTGTGAGCATATAGGTCGCCGTGAGCAATGCCTCGCTTATGCAGGTGAGCAGCAGCTGAGGCAATGCCCTGAAGAATCCTCAAGCCTTGGTGCGGCGTCAGAGTGGTGGTCGGCAAGAAACAATCACGAGTACATGTTTCCATCGACGGAGGCAACCCCAGGGTCTTATAAACCGAGGGAATCAGTTGCATCAATAAGCCCTTCTTCTCCGGATGCCCCAGAATCTCTCCTAGGGGATCGATCAAATTCGAATGCGAACCAGCGTCCATACACGCACGCATCTCGTCCAAGGGCGTCCCATCACTCGTAATGTCGCCTTTGAACAGCTTGACGGCCACGGGGCGGGACTCGCCGGCACAAGTCCAGTCCCCTCTGAATATTGAACCAGACGCTCCTTCACCCAGCAACTCGCGTGTCTCCACGTCAGACCAAGGCACTTTTGCCAACGCCTGAGCAGCGCTGGCAGCTTCTGGTCTCTCGGATGAACACGGATTTCCTGCAAAGGACAAAAAACCCAACTCAGGCATCTCGAACAGCCAAGATGGCAGGTTCTCAATGCGATTGGCGGATAGCCGTAAGAGTCCAAGCTTGTGGCACGATGACATTTCATCAGGGAGCTCACGGAGCAAATTTCCAGAAAGCATGCATTTCTGTAGGCGGGAGCATTTGCCTATGCTCTTGGGCAGAGACTCAATCTTGTTGCCCGTGAGGATAAGCCAGCGAAGTCGCGACGGCAGTGCATTCTCGGGGATCTCTCTTATCCGATTCGAGCGGAAAGCAACCATTTCGAGCTCTGGACAAGCAGCCAGCTCCTTGGGAAAGACCTCAAAGTTGCAGTTGGAGAAAAAGGCTATCTTCAGGCTCTTGAATTGACCAAAGATGTCAGGCAAGCTGGCAAGACCTGTTCCCGACAGGTCGAGGTGCTTGAGGGTTTGAGCATGGTCAAGTATTTGAGATGGAAACTTGTCGAGAGGGACGGATAGCTTGAACTTTTCTACCACAGATTCCTGGTCCGGGCAAGTTACAAGTTCGCCCATTGTGACAACAAGACGACGGCTAGAACAGACAATGAACCGTTTGATGCTGCAGTTGTGGAAAGAGAAATATTCAAGGCCCAAGCAGCAGGTGCTGGCCACTGGGGATCCCTAGGGAGGTAGGTGGACAGACGACATGAGACAGCCAGCTCACCGACAAGATAGACAAGTGCCACCACACACTAGTCTTGATCAATCCATATTGACCCTTCGAGTCAGTGGTGCCTTTGACGTGGAACATGAGAACAGAAGTCCAAGTAGAATTTAAAATAAAATGAAGCATCGCATCATATCAATACGAACAGGTGGATGCAATTTTTGCGGCGATTGGTGTTATCCAAGTCGCCAGCATCAAGTTACAGAAACAAGCTCTGAAAACATCAAGTGCACAATCACCACTCAAAGAATGGTATGGATGGAATTGTAATTTGAATTGATGTTGAGACTCAAAGCTACCAATCCGATGTGTTTGCTACGGCAGATGTCATTAGAAGTAGCTATTCAAAGTTACATACCTACCTACCGTGGGAGTTATGGAATTGAACAACACTCATCAATGGACAGGCATGTAATAATGCCCTGCCAATGAATTCTCATTTGAAAAGTCCCCCAATTTTTTAATGGTTGCGAGCTTCTAGCGTGTAATCAGACGCGCCAGCGGCCAGCCCGCAGGACCCCTGTAGCGACACCCCGCACAGTCCATCTGGCCCAAGCTCACCTTGAATGCTTCTTTCCAGGTTACGTCGGCGAAACCTCCAACTTGTCTCCGATCAATAAATCACACTCGCCTGAAAAGCTTCATCGGGGCGCCTTTTCTGCAGTGTCTTCAACCCAAATTGCGCGGTCCAAGGCACGGCTCGACAACAAATAGCTCGACGATTCATCATCTCACGCGACGCGCCTTCCGGTTTCTACCATCACTAGATAAACACGACGCCATCCAGTCGCGAATTGTCGACTTCGTGCTAAGAAAGTCCACGTTCGCCATACACAGCCTCCCGAAAACGCAAGCTAAGCCACGACTTAATCTTTCATCAACCATTACCTTACTTCTGCGCGTCAAAGCGTCCGTCGCCACCATCTCTTGTCATCCCAGCGATCATGGACTCTCCCAAATCTGGCCAGAAGCGATCTCCGCCGCGCGACGAGTCTGATGAGAAGATTGAGCTGCCGAGCAAGAAGCAACGAACAGCCACACCGCAATCAGACAACAAGGTCATTGTTGCGACGACTGGGAAAAAGCGTAGCGATAGTGGCAATGCAACATCGGCGGAAAGGTTGAACGTCCCTAGTGAGGCCAACTTTGCGCGCGAGGGGCTTCAAAGATCAATCGCATTAGCACTCCAGCATGTCGGTTTCGATTCCGCGTCGCAGGAAGCCCTGGAAAGCCTGACTTCGGCAACCGAGATGTGTAAGTAGAGTCTCGTCGAGACGGCCGCGTCCAAGTGACCTAACTCCAACGCAGACATGTCTACCTTTACCGAGCACATCAAACGCTTAGCAGAATCTGCGCGAAGATCACAGCCTGTGCCCACTGACTTTGGCCATATGCTGCGCAAACACAATGTTCCCTTGTCTTCGATGAAGCCGCATTTGAAGAACCCCGTGGACAAGCAGAAGCTCGAACCTACATACTACGATCCCCTTCCAATCACTCCACAGACTGACTACTTCCGGCCAATTTCGACTAAATGGCTTGGGGAAGAACTTGATGGCAACACTGAAAAGAAGGACAAGCCATGGATACCTGAAGGGTTGCCTGATTTTCCCAGCAAACACACCTATAAGTTCACTCCAAAAGAGACAGTGGCAGTCGACCCAGCACAGAAACGCACAGAGGCTATGGCGGCGGCACAGAAGGGCGAGAAGGCTTTGCGAACAATCAATCGGGCTACAAAGATGAGCCAGCAAAAGGAGCTCAAGGATCTGGCGCAGAGAAACACCATGAGCAAGGGGCGCCACGATGCTTGGGAAGGCATGATGAAGTCAATGATGTCGGACCTCGGCGGCTCTTCGCGTGACCGACAGGAACTCGCAGATTATAGTGTGACTGTGGACTCCTCCGTGCGGTACAGGCGCAGAGAGGTCCCTCGGGTGAGCAACAGATTGCCGCTTGGTGTGATTCCAAGCAAAGGCTAATGTTGGCATCCAGGAGAACCGCGGTCGAGTCATACGATAATACAAAGCAGGAAAAAGGACGGTTTTCGAAATCAAAGTTCTGGATCGGTTATGGCCGCGGCAGCATCCTTGGTGACAGCAGTCTGCCCCAGTGTGCATCTTGCCTGGAGCATACCCTGCTGCTTGCGATGACATTCAAAGATTGTTTGGAAGACACTCTTGATTTTGACGTTAACCTTATTGAAGGTCAAAGAGAGCGCTGAGTAAGGGAAAGCATATAAAGGCGGCAGCTCTGGCAGAGCACGATGGAAGCATTTACATTGGAGTTTGGTTTTGTTTTTAGATACCCCTAAATGCTCCTTTAAATGAAAGAGCATAAATAAGAAGCGAGTATGGACGTTTTCATCTGCAATTTCCTGAGTTTGGAGTGGAATGAAATAATGAAGGCATTCATGTTTATTTTCAAGGCTGGACAAGACAGTTTCGGCGGGCTGTATAACTAAGTACCTGCTATGCACGTTCTGCCAAAGTGGGCAGGCATTTGATAGATTTAGTGCATTGTTGATGGGAGCTGCATGCAAAATTGTGTAGTGAATCGCATTCAACCGAGCAGATTGGAAAGCACGGCGTGTGATTGAAAGGATAAAGATTAATTTGACAGCAGCCTTCATAAATGGCAAAGAGGAGATGAAAGCCTGCATCAGGATACAGTGACATACATAACCTCATGCTGCATGACTGGTAACATTTATTATTGAATGTTGAACCAGGTGCTCAGAGCTCGACTGGAGCTTCTGCCAGCTGGGCGCCGAACCCCACTTTGATCTGAGTTTCGATTGGTTCCTGCCCCGCGAGGCTGATCGCTGGTCGCACACCCCTGCATTCCCCATCAAAAGTAGCGATTTTTTGACCCTAAACCGAACCACACAAAAATTCTCGGAATTTTCAGAAGCTTTGCCAGCCTGAGAGACCCGACGGTGATTGACAAGCAGCCGCAACAAAACGAATATCTTTCCACCACCCATCCCCCAATTCAGGTTCTCGTGTAGAAGCAGACTTGAAGCACATCCCGACAATGGCTGAGCAGCTGATTCTGAAGGGTACCCTCGAGGGCCACGTAAGTTTGCGACCCCGACCTAGCAATCTCGAATTGTCGTCCAATTCGTTGCTGCCGCTACTGCTTGTGGGCGAACCGGCAATGCGCCCGCGATGCGTGAAACAACAATCGACTACAGCAATAATGGCAGCAACGAGTTGGCAGACGATCAAATTTTTTGTGGACGGATTAGCTAACACATACTTGACAGAATGGCTGGGTCACCAGCTTGGCTACCTCTCTGGAGAAGTACGACGACCTCGAAATCGAATTATTTGGCTATTCTGCAGGAAACTAACCGTCGACCAGCCCCAACATGCTCCTGTCCGCTTCCCGTGACAAGACCCTGATCATCTGGAACCTGACCCGCGACGAGTCGCAATACGGTTACCCCAAGCGATCTCTCCACGGTCACTCCCACATCGTCTCCGACTGTGTATGTTTATTCGCACCCTTGGCGGAAAGATGGAGGTGAAATGGATATGGTAAAGGAACGACGGGCTGACGGGGATATTTTGTTCAGGTTATCTCCTCCGACGGTGCTTACGCTCTGTCCGCTTCGTGGGACAAGACCCTCCGCCTCTGGGAGCTCGCCACTGGCACCACCACCCGCCGCTTCGTTGGCCACACCAACGACGTTCTGTCCGTCTCCTTCTCGGCCGACAACCGCCAGATCGTCTCCGGTTCGCGTGACCGCACCATCAAGCTGTGGAACACCCTCGGTGACTGCAAGTTCACCATCACCGACAAGGGCCACACCGAGTGGGTTTCTTGCGTCCGCTTCAGCCCCAACCCCCAGAACCCCGTCATTGTCTCCAGCTCTTGGGACAAGCTCGTCAAGGTAAGAAACACCCCGGGCCACGAGGAAAGAAGGAGATTCACCACCGCGACTCAATCCACATGATGCTATGCAAAAAAAGTATTTGCTACTTCAGAGCTTGCCTAGGCTTGCCATGAGACCAACATTCACCAATTGCCCTGACTTTTTCGAGCGCAAAATCTCTTTTTTTTCCTCGAGAGCCACCGAATTACCCCAGCATCTCGTTTGTACTAATTCTCCTCTCCAGGTTTGGGAGCTCTCCACCTGCAAGCTCCAGACCGACCACATCGGCCATACTGGTTACATCAACACCGTCACCATCTCCCCCGACGGTTCCCTCTGCGCCTCCGGTGGCAAGGACGGTACCACCATGCTGTGGGACCTCAACGAGTCCAAGCACCTGTACTCCCTCAACGCCGGTGACGAGATCCACGCTCTCGTCTTCTCCCCCAACCGCTACTGGCTCTGCGCTGCCACCGCCAGCAACATCATCATCTTCGACCTCGAGAAGAAGAGCAAGGTCGACGAGCTCATTGTCGAGTTCGCCGCTGTCGGCAAGAAGAGCCGCCAGCCCGAGCCTATCTCCCTGGCCTGGTCCGCTGATGGCCAGACTCTGTTCGCTGGTTACACTGACAACATCATCCGTGCTTGGGGTGTCATGTCGAGGGCATAGTAAACTCTCGGGAGGAAACCCGGGGTTTGTCGGTCATTGACTGGGCGTAAGGGATGGGCTTCATCATTGTCATTTGGTCAATCAATTTTCCAGGGGAATGCCAATCATACACGTTTCTACGCGCATCTAACGTGCCATGGTTGACGATAAAAAGGAAAGATGGTTAGCATTGTTGCGGTTAGATCATGCTGCTATGCTAATAAGACACGTTCACGAGAAACAAAAAAAAAATGGTCGACTCGTGTGTTTTAGTTCCGCCATTGTGAAGACAAAAAAACATCAGTAAACACTTTGAACAATTCTCCTCATCCATGTGAAATCAATCTGCAGTAGGAGTAATGTCTGTCTGCTTGTGATTGGGCTTTGGCTCTACTGTCAACTTACACTGGAAGTACAAGCCGTGCGGCGAGTCTAGATCTAGAACATACGAGGTCAAGGCTGTATTGGTTGGAGATGTTCTACGAATGTATGAATCCAACTTGAGAAATTGGCCATGGTCTAACAGTGGTGTTTCTCACGACCAAGTTGGTATCTGAATGCACAGTTTGATCTTGTCAGTGGACTTGAGACAGACTGAGGTGAAGCAGTTCTCGTTCGATGTCCCGATTGTTTCGACGAATTATTCTAGCCTTCCAACAACTTGTCTCACGACATCAATTCTTGGCCAATACGTTCTTGAAGATTTTGGATTACGTGGTTCGATGAGGTCATCTCATTGCGCACAATCGGGGTCAGCACTTGTCAAAGAAAACCGACTTGAATTGGAAAATGGGCGGCTATTTTCCTAACAACAGGAAATCATCTTGGCCACTCAGTCTAGTTCGTATTTATCAATCCCAGCATGCTCTGGTGCCTTTGCACAGTATAATATATAATACATGGATAGGACCAAAGAGGATCATGTCCAGATAAGTTGGGCATATGGAAATATGGCAACTCTGTAGTACGTCCATTTGATTTTCATATTCAAGTCTCAAATTATACACTATTCGAAGCTGCTCAACTTACAAAGAATGGCAAAAACCCCCCATAAAGTGAGCCATGGTAATTGACATTTGCCAGTGACTTTCGACATTAAGATCAGCATTAGAATTCTCATGTTAATAATACAAGTTTGCCGTACCAGAAGCCCGCGATTAGTTGTACACACAGATTCACAAAATGGCAGCTCCAACACAGGCAATCAGCAAAGCCATTGGACCAGCAGTAGCCATGGACCCAGCACCCTGGGAGACACTGCTCGAACTCCCGGTCGTGCTGCTCGACGACGAAGAAGAAGAAGCCGTCGACACTGAGGAGCCCCTTGTCGTCGTGGTAGTCGCGAGGCTGGCTGCCGACGTGATGGTGCCTACGGTGCCAGAGAGAGCCGTTGTATCTCCGGTGATGGTGGGGAGTCCCGAGACATCCGTGGTGGCAGTCGTTGTGGCCTCCGTAGTGACGTCCGAAGTAGCATCCGACGTGAGACTAGTTGTGCTGACTGACTCCTCGGTCGAGCCGGCGGCGGCTGCAGCGGACGTTGGAAATGCATAACTTCCGTAGCCCGCGAGATAGGAAGGAGTGTAGGCCTCCGTGCCCGCATATGCGTCGCATCCGGGGACCGTGGTCTTGGGCGGAGCCCGGCCGCCACCTAATCCAAACCATCAGCATAGGAAATGGAGACCAAGTAGATTCGAGCGATCTTTTGAGATGGACTTACCGCAGTCGAGAAACTCGCAAATCTCACCCGTGTCCGGGACGTACCAGACCAAGCTGGCGCCGCCGTAGGCAACAGTCTCTGATGAGACACAGCCCGACAAGTCCGTTTTTGCCGCAATGGGAGCAATGAATAGCGCCGCCGCCACGGCCACAGTCGTGCGAACAAACATGTTGAAGGGCGTTTTTGACCTGTGAACAAGCTTTTTGCACAATAATTCTATCAACAGAAAAATCCTCCAAAGAGCGGAATGGGCCTGATTAAAAGTCCAGAAACGAATGACGAATCTGTGAAGCAATCTGGCATGAAAGGAAGGACTTGAAGCAGATAAATCACATCCTAAAACTACAAATCTCTTTTCCCCCCAGCGACATGACGATTCGGAGCCATGGAGTTCGCGCCATCGCCTCCCAGGTAAAACCATTGGAATGAGTTGGGCCCAGCGTCGGCTGATGACCCACTGAAACAACTAAGCTTAATCTAAAGCTTAAGGGGCCATGGAACCATGAAGCCCAGACATCTCTGATCGATTCCCACCGTGGTGCTCCCATGTATAGCGATTTCTGATAATTGCACTGCACTGTAATAGAATCCGAGAAACATGTGTAGCGGAGCCAGATTCATGAGCTGCAAGATCCGCCGCCAAGGAAAATTGCGCAATGATAAGTCTATTCCCTGTGGTAACATTACTTCAAATGATACGATATAGCGCATTCCCTCGTGCCTGAGCCCCTGGTTGCAAGATCAAAAGCACGCGACGCCTCGGCGCCATTGTCTTATATCCGCGATGCAATCAGTCTTGTCTTTCCACCCTATTTTGGGGGAATTGACAGAAACACCGCACATGGAAATCGGTCATCAAGCTCATTTCCATGTCTGTACCTCTAGCTTCAGCCCATCAGCTCACGACGCTTTTCCATCCACTCGGTGACGACATTGGCATAGTCCTCGGGCCCATACGGTTCCAAAGCCTCGGCCATCATGCCCTTCTTGCGGTGGACCTGCAGGCCTAGGTCGGCAACCAGCATGTCTAGGTGAGGCAAAGCATCAAATACAAAATCCGGGACCTGCGAGCTTCGTCCACCCGAGTAGCGCCACCGCCCGAAGCGGCTGTAAAGCACGGCCTCGTAGCGCATCTTGTCCATGGCTTCGGCGTCGGTCCAGTCCGGAAACAAAGCCACCTCGTCCCGAAAGTATGCAGTTATCCAGAGGGCTTGAATATGCGCCTGGATCGTGGTTGAGAAATTCATCACCATTCCCGCAAAGGCAATGTCCCGGTGTCTCAAAAGACCCTGATTGGCCGGTATCATGAACCGGTATAGCATGTATGGCGTCAGCTCTGTGGAGGGATTAATTTCGTCCGATGTGGACATTCCCTTGTTGTCGAGCAGAGACACATAACGCTTGTTTTGGACGGGACGATCCCTGAGTCGAGGGAACCGAGAGAGTATCTCCTCGTCTGCCTTTGGGACCAGGTCATATAGCTCGTCCGGCAAAGACGGTGCGTGGGGTATGCCAAGGTCTTTCTCAATGCCTTTGGGGAGAAACTTCATCGGCGGCAAGTGCTTCCAGCCAGTGACACAGCAAAGGGCATCGGATTCGAGGGTTGTACCACTCGACAAGTGGACCGCGTGATTCGACAGCCCGACAATGTCGTCAATGTGCACCTTGACCATGTCGTTGCGCAGCAGCTCGAAAAAGTCCGTGTCATAGTTTATGATGGAGAAACTGCTGGGGGTAAACATTGGGAGGCTCCACGGCTTGAGCTTGGCCATCTCGGGGTGCGAGTCGTATTTGTTCAAGGTCATGACATCGTTGCCCAAAACGGACCAGAAGGCATTGGTAATGGCACGGCCAATGGCAGTCTCGTGCCAGAACCACCGTATACCGCTGAACCCACCAGCGGCTGACCATATACAAGGACTGAACCAAGTCAACAGTCTGGTGTTGACGAGCTTCTCCAACCACTTCTTGAGTGGTGTCACGTAGGGAGGTGCCATCCATGCTGGGCCGTGACCCGACTTTCGAATGACCCAATCCACCTCTACCCCTCGAGTCGCGTAGGCATACACGGCATCCCATCCAGACTTGGTTCCGCCAAAGACTGTAGCTCTCTTTTTCGGTCCTATATTGGACCCTACATGGTGTATCAGATCTCTGCCATGAAATAGAGGTGCGTTGTACAATTCCTGTCCCTCGATATGGGGCAAGAAAGGCTCAGAGGTGAGGCCCGTGGCAACTACAAGCTTCTCTGCCCATATCTTCTTGCTGACCCCAGCTCCTTTACCGTCGCCGGTCACAGTATTCAATGTCAAGACCCAGCCGCCCTCCCGCTGGTGCTCGGCCACCTCGACCTTGGTGTGGTAGCGTATGCAGTCGATTATGTTGAACTTTTCGGCGTACTTGGTCAGGTACTCGTGACACACCCGTCCCGGAATGTGCTCGCCTGGCTTGACCCCAAACGTCTCCGTGGTCATGGGAAAGTCTGGGTATTCATACGTCCCGAGCATGTTATTCGTCTTCAGTCCTGGGTAGAGACGGTCCTCGGCCCATACGCCCCCGAGCGTGGCGGCAGCCTCGAGAACCAGCAACGAATTTTCTGGATTGACCTCGTGATAGACTTTTGCTGCGGCCAAGCCGTGCCACCCTGTGGTTCATCATGTCAGTTGATTAGCTTTTTGACTTTGGGTGCATAGCCTTACCTGCACCGACCACGACTAGATGAAACTCCTCCATCTCATTGGCAAGCTATTGAGTGTTACAAATCTTGTTAGCAATGAGACCTCGTCATCAACTGGTCCAAACCCGATTATAGAAGAAAAGCTTGAGGAATTATTCCAAACAACCCAATGCAATTACACATGAAGATGCGCAATCCAAAAGTCAGTGGAATGAACAAGATCATCCATCTCAAGAGAATCTTACGCGAGCTTGTGGATTTTAGAGGCTGTGGGGTTGCGGCACAGCGACAAGGATTGCTAAGCGGTGCATACACAGTACAAACATCCCAGATGGTACAAAGCAAATGCAATGGACTATGAACTGACCTCTCAGGAACAAACAATTGTGCTTTGATGAGATCTGATTGAGAATAATCAGGGCGTTCGAGGGCGTCGCGGAGGATGAGACTTGATGGATTACCGTCTTTCATATCGAGACATTTTTCATCTTTCAGTCGTTATGTTAGAATTGACAGATCTGTCTAATGACTTGAAAAGAGCATGAAGTCTCAACCAGAGATGATACTAACAAAGAGCTTTTGTTAGGACAAGAGTCGGGTACTCATGGGTATCAAAAGTACGATGAGCCGTCCAGTCAAGCGACAGTTGTGGTTTTCCCGGTACGCTCTTCAGATCCCGCAAGGGCTGCTGTCCAATTCTGGAAAACCTCTCATCTCAATGTGTGAAACAATGATGTAATATTTTGTGCGACACTTGAGCTGAATAAACGTCAATATGTTCACTTGAAGCATTCATCGAGATGATGTAGAACTTGGTCAATCAAATTCATATTACTGAGCAGAATGCTCAAAGTGCTTTTCTGTTGGGTGGGGCACTAGCATAGGCGATTGCTTAGCTGAAGTACAACCTAGGAAGACGATGCGCAAATATCACATTATGCTGTAGAATAGGGTGCAAAACAGGACATGTCTTGCTTACCATTGAACGGCTCATGGCTATTTTCGTCAAATATCGGACTCGTTAATGCAAGCGTTGACACCTCATGTTGTATTTTCAACACCTTACGGTATGTATACTTGTGCAGGCTCGCTTAGTGTCAGTGGTGCTATAGACTCGGCATCGAGGACTAATTCGCCACGAGTCACGCAGAGGCATGCAGATTCCACAGAGTATAAGAGTGGAAAGAAAAATTCTTCAAGTGCTTACAAGTCGGTAAAAGCAATATTCATGCGCCTTCGCAACAAGAAGTTATAAATGGCGAAGATTGCTCGATTTCATGCTCTTCTTTGACTCTATTATACAGCTCTCCAAGCCTGTGAGTATCTTTGCCGTCATGTTTGCAGCCAGAATCGCAATCGGTTCCAACCAACATACAATCCAATCGGTTGAGCGGATCATACCGCACTCGACACGGTTTTTGAACCTTTCAAAGAACAGTATGCGTCCAAGGCAATAAAGCGGGCAGGAGGATCTCAACGCTAACAATGTTCCACTGCAGAGTGGACATGGGGCGGGGTGACACAATCAGTGACATAATTGATAATAGCGACCTCTCGTTCCAATAAGCTCAGGTTCGGTAGCTAAGTGGTAGTAAGTCACAACAACATATCATCTCAGGACCAACATTCGATTCTAACAGCCCTTACAGTAGCGTGGGATTGCAGTTGCACACAGCAGCTATCCTAAGGTCACGTGTTCGATCCACGTTCGGACCTGAAACTTCCCTTTTTGTCTTTTTTTCTTCTGTTTCTTTTTTTTTTCTCTATTTCATTCTACTCATTTGATAATCTTACTCCATGCTGATGCATTTGATCTGTTGCATACTTATAACAAATTTTACACGAGCTTTGTGTTCTTACGAGATGCATCGTCAAAATCCTCTTTTATACATAAAAGGCTAGTATATTTGTGCGTAAATATCGCCGACATGGTCAGATACAGTTCTTTATTCTTAAGATTATCTAGCTACTCTTGAAGTGATTACTCGCTTGATACATCAAGCTTAAGGAGTGGCTTTTATTGCGTAATAGTAATTAATGGTGCAGCTTCAGCTTTATACTCATCTTCATGCAAATAATAACAAGGTTTTCCATATGATAGCAATGTATAGAAAATGCATTCCAAGTGCGGATATATATATTATTGATTTATTATTTGCTTTAGAATAAAACGAAAATATGGCTCACAACTTCCCAAAAGACAAGGGATAAAGCTAAAAGTGAAAAAAAAGGAAAGGTTCAATTAAATGTCTATTTATCAAACTTCAACCGCTGGCTCGCTAAACACACACACACACGCACACATCCACACATTCTTAATAGACATATTTGTAGTCCACTTGATCATCCAGCTCCTCGCCCGGCTGCAAGGCGGCAATCTTCTTGTCAATCTTCTTGTTGTGGTAAATGAAGACAAACATGGTGAATATCATGATGGGGAAACTGAGCGCCGTAATGCCCAAACCCGTGCCGAACCCGACGGGATAGCGAGGGGACTGGGTCGTGATAAAGACGTTGCTGCTCACAAAGTTTGCACAGTTTCCGATACCCAAGAGGACGGCGGTACCAAAGGACTGCGAGGCGCGTCCGCGCAGGTTGGCCGTCAACATGCCAATGTAGAGCGGCATGCAGACAAAGGTGCCGAAGCTAATGAGGAACTGCGCAAAGTAACGAACGCCGGGCGGGTTGACCTGCAACAAGTGGAGAATCCAGCCAACGGTGCTGACCAGGATGGCGGGTAGGATAAAGGGCCACCGTGTATTGAGCCGTCCTGACAGCAGCGTCGTGCTTAGTGCGCCGACGATGCCGATGATCCACACTGGAATAGTCATGACCTGGGCGCGGCGTGCGGTCCATCCCAACTGACTCAGGATCGTGGGGTTGAAAGAGCTAAGAGACCCAGCCGACATGTCGGCACAGAAGAAGAGAAGTGTTCTGGAATAGAGAAAAAAGAAAGACGATTAGCACACGATTCAAAAGCGGCCCGAGAGAAAGATACACTACTCACAGTAGCCAGATCTTGTAGTCAAACACGATCTTAAGCCAGTCCACCTTGACGCCCATATCCTGCTTTTGGTCGCCCTTGTCTAGCTGAAGACGGGCGAGCAGCTGCGCCTGGTCTTCTTTATCCATCCACTTGTCCTGAGATGGAAAGTGAGGCGTAAAAATAAAGACAAAAATGGAAAACACAATCGTGACAAGACCTTCGACAAGAAAGATCCTAATGCAATGTTAGTCGTTTAGCCACAAATTGAATGACACTTTTATTTGGCCAAAGACATACCAGCTCCAGCCCGCCAGGCCAGCAGATCCGTCGAGATCCATGAGTGCATAAGCCAGCAAACCACTGAAACAAGATCCAGATTGACCAAAAGCAAAGAAGAGGGCGAATCTCAAGGACAGCTCCTTCTTTCTGTAGTAGGATGCGATGAGCAGGCCCGCGCCGGCAGGAAGCCCCGTCTCCACGATACCCATCAGAAAGCGGATCGCGAGCAGGCCCTCATAGGAATGGGTAAGACCTTGACACATTGCCAATATACCTTTTTCGTTTTCGTTTAGCTAATGCAGTGCAGAGAGACCTAGGCGGGATGTGGCTTGAGAATAGAGGCAATCGTACCTAGAATAAACATTTGCGCGCCCAGGAACAAATTGGGCTTGATCCACCGCAGACCCATAATCCAATTACTCGGAACCTCGAACAGAACCTGAAGTGCCCATCTCCGTTAGTAAGTGTCAAATTTTCTCGAATCGAGAACTCGAGGCCATTTCATACAAATGGGATATAGAAAATCCACAAGGCCGTGTTGAAGCCCGTAGACGGCATATTCAGTCCCTTCTCCAGTCCAGCCAGGCGGGCGTTGGCGATATTGGTCCGATCCAGGAAGCAGACCAGATACAACAGGCCCATGATGGGAATGACTTTGAGATCGATCTTGGTCGTCAGCCGCCGGTCAGCCTGGGCGTCGAGACTGTAGATTCCCGCCGCGACATCTTGACTGCGAGAGCTGTCTGAGCAGTTGGCCGTAATATTTTCGGTAGCAAGCTTCTCGTCCAGGGGCCGAGGCTCGCCGAGCACGGCCTTTTCAAAAGTGGCCGCCATTGAGTGATAGGCGTCCGTTGGATCGAGCTCGTCGTCTTCGTCGTCGTCTTTGTCCTGGATCCTCGTCGTGGGAACCGTTCGACGGCAAACAGCAGAAGCGACACACAGGTGGTAGCTGTCCGCTGGAGGATTTGCGACTGACTAGAGCAGTTGCAAGGACTCGACGGGCTGCAAAGGACAAGCGCACGCGGCGGATCAGCCGTCGCTTTGGGGGGTTATATCCTAACCAATGCGACATGGAATCTAAATTCGCGTGCCCAGCTAGCCTAGCGGGAAGTGAGGACAATCCCGATTGAACCTGGTCAACTAAAACCCCATCAGTCCAGCCAGTCCAGTCAATGAGTCCCGGTCGTCGGTCCCTCCATTTTCGAGTCCCTTGCGAGCAAGACAATGAGAGCCTGGAGCCCGGTCCCCCTTCCCCGGCGCCCTGACGCCCTGATTCTAGTGTGGTGTAGTCACTGTACGCAGTGCGCACCAAGAACTACATTAGCCTGCGAAGCTGGGGTTTGACGCCACCATTCAGTCTAAAAAGCTATCGGCGGAGTCGGAATAGTGGGCGTTCGATGACCTTGCTTGGCAACTTTGGGCGTCGGTCCCTGAGCCAGGCCTAATCTGATCTGACTCTGATGAGCAATCCCTACACTACCTTGTAATAAGAGGTACAAATTCCCCCTCTTGGCAGTTGACCAAGCCCGCTATGGGCCTATGGTCAGCGAAAAGCGAACCCCCAAACCAGGCCTCCTATCAATGAGTGGATTGTCGCATTCATTGTGGACGATCATTGTGCTGGCGAAAGTGCCGGCAATTGTCCACCGAAAAACATGTGCTACCCTCCCTGGCCGCTGAAGATTTATGTCATGTTATGTACTATTACACACGCGCTCGCCTGCAGCGAAATTCGTACAAAGTATTTCCTTTTTGGAGCAGTCAGACCAGAGTGTCGGGTCCGCCGAACGAGCCGCTGAATAATAATGTATGTAGGCTTGCGGCGCAGGTGTAGTATTCGGGACTGAGACAATCGTTGGACTCTTGTCTCTGGCCATCCGTTTCACTGGGTCCATTTACACCCTCCTTCAGCCCTGGGCAAGCCTGGGGATTCGCTAGCTGGACGGATGAAGACCCCCAAAAAAGATGTTTCGAGCGAAGGGGGAGAAAGAAGCCTGCCCGCCCGGCTTTGCCCTTGATAACATAGATACCCTACCCAATAACTTTCTAGGTTACTTGATTTGCTCGCTATGTAATTGCGCTAAAGAAGTCAGTTCCTTTGCAAATGCAAGGACAAGGTCCAGACAAGCAAGGGTCTGTCATCAATCTGCAATGAACCCTGGGGATACGATGCTGCAGGTGCATAATTGGGGTCCATCAATGTCAATTGATTCGCCCTGGCACGATAATCGGCAATTACAAACTCGCTTCAAAAAATGCCGTCGAGATTTTCTGTCTCTGCCTCCTCTTCTCGCTTGCGTTTTATGGTCCCGGAAAAGACTCATATCCATCATCATATCATCGGTGCTTTACTGTAATCAAAAGCATGAATCAATCTTTGTATAATATTGCTCCGGGCTGCGACGAGCCAAGACCACATTGCGTAAGGAGATCAATTGTCAAATCTCATCAGCCTTAGCCGAGACTCCCCAAATCTCCTTGTTCAAACTCTATCGCATCTAATCCAATCTTATTACAATCGTAAGCAGGTGCCTATAGGCTGTATATGGCTCTAGGGCAGATGCTAGGACACTCTCCAAATATATTGTTTTTCAGCGTGATGCCCTACACGTAATCGGCCGTGTTGCTCTTGCAAACCCCCATATTGAGTCTGCCGCTCAGCATCGGCCATGTCGGGGTTTTTATCGGTACCGAGCCCGGCGCACAAATAGCCGATAATTGTACACGGTAAAGGAAGACACCTGAACCCGTAGCACTGATAAGCAACGTTTCTTGGCGATTTTCCATGAGTATATATTTCGAAGCGGGCCGCCATGCGCGGCGGTACAAGACATGAACCCCATCAGGCCACCCGTTCCCTTGTCAAGAAAAAAGTCGCGGGGGCTTGTTTCATAGTATGAAAATAAATCAGGACCTCAAGAACCAGCGGGCAAAACAAAATCCCAAACTGCCCGTACTACCACGGTATAGTGGACTGGCGAGACTGGCAGCGGTTCGGGTCGCAGCAGCCGAACCCAGCACCTCTTTTACTGTGCATATTTTTTGCCAAGTAAAAGCTCGTGATGTGCAAAAAAGCCCCTCCCACGGGCCACAAACCACGAATAGGACGCGTAGAGCCAGCGCATCCCCCATCCCCCGGGGAAGGACTTCCACGGCAGACACACCCACTCCCACCCTCCACAGAAAGCCCTGCAAGGCACCAATTAAGAAATGACTTTCCATAGAGTACTGCGGGCACTCGAGTGCGAGATCAGGCCGTGGCATGAGAAAGAGAGAGGGACAGAAAAAAAAAAAAAAAAGGGAGCGGCTCGATGCGGTGGGATGGCTGACTGACAATGCTCGGTTCGAAAGAGGTCCAGATTCTGGTCGACTGCAGAAAGGCACGGCTCGTGCCAAAAGAAAGCCCGAGTGCCTGTTCCCCTCAAGAGGCGAGCGAAGTGGTCTCATGGTGAAGTGGTTCGATGTGCCGACATGTGTATTGACTTTTTAACATGTCCCCTTTCGTGTGCCAGCGGTCTATGTAACTGCATTGACATTGCAGAAATGAATCTGCCAATGCATCGAATGAAGGCATCCGACCTTAAAGGTAAGGTCAATAAACAAGTTATCGTTTGCAGTGTTGTCCTCTTGGCTAGCGGGTCATGTCCAATGTCCACGAATTTCCATGCCTATATGATGCTTGGAATTGTCAATTCTCAAATGGCGTCTAGCATAAAATCAAAACGAAATTGATTGTCGGACAGCCCGGAGTCTACTGGCACTTGCAGGAGATGCATATTCACAATAATGAGTCTATAGTTGGGATGACGAGGGGGCCAGGACAGGTTACTTTGCATTCCTAGAGCTATGGTGGCGGCATATCTATCCAACTCTCCATGTTCATAAAATCATATTGCGTAGCCGCATTTGTCCAGTCCGCATAGGATGGGGCAATACCCACCACTCCGCTTGATTTGACATGGCCCACGACTTCTTCAATGTCGAGTCTCTCTTTGGTGCCTTCGGCAATGGCGCGTTCATAGTCGAGGATGACGGATATCAGGTCCACGCCTCTCCTGGCTACAGAGCTGTAGGTGCCTATCCTGCCGAGACAAGGCAAAAAGTTGGTAAGTAGTTGTCTCATCTCCATTTTCTCGAATATACCATCAGCCTGTTCAGACGAGAAGAGGACACCGAACAAAAGGGCCACAGCTGCAGCCACTAGATTGTTGTTGTTTGTCCACATTTTCTTGAATACCAATGATTCATCGTCGTCTGGCCATTCGATAAAAGTTCTCAGACTACTACGCGCAGCAGCGAGACATGATATCTGAATACCTTTGTTAGTCGCTGGTCATTTGCACACGGATACAACAGAGGCTACTCACCCTAGTTACTGAAAATGCGTCATCTCGAAAGCTTTTTAATTGAAAATGGCGATGTATAGCGAAATACTGTCCGGAAACGTTAGTGTTTGAGTGGTTAATCACCACACCATGGTACTGGGATCAACTCACTGCTCTTGCGAATGATATAGCAAAGAGTCTGCGAAGGTGCGGCACAGTACTTGGCCATTCCGGACGCAACGGAGCTTCCATGCGGAAAAAATCGGGTCGCCTATGCCACAATTGCTGAAGTTCTGCATTGGCCGACAGCACCTCATCATAGAGGATCTTGATTTTCCGTGGGTCGTTTCCGGGATGTCCATGGCGGGACATTCTTTCGTGGGTCTTGTAAATAAGTATAGCGACTGGCTTGATTTTAGTGACACAACCTCATCGCCTCCAAGCACGATGTAGTGTACATACTCTGATTATGTATACCAGCCCAGCTGGATTGTGTCAGGACATTTGAGTCCAATGCCTTGATGCCATTCTCGCCGCACATATGAAGGGGGTCTTCGAAGCAATTCAGCGGAGGAGGGGTGTTGAAATGGGAAGCATTAATTGTGAACATGTTGCCATATGGGATCTGCACTATAGTCCAACCAAGTCAGTATATATAAACATTGAAAAGACCGTATGTTTGACAATTTGCCCGAGATCGTTCTTCTTTAAATCGTACTTGACACTTGTCGCGTTCTCTTCATTCACCAAGTAGGCACTTACTCCAGTCTTGTTTAACGAGAAACCACCACAGTCGCTTTTTTATTTCTCTGCCGATCGGATCCTTACTCGGTCCCGAATCGGGGCCAAGACGGTTCAGATCTAGCGACTGAGCAATACGTGTCGTGCTCGACAACAGCACAAAGACGAAATCACTTTGCCCAAGATTGTGCCCAACCTGATTTCAGGTTAGTTGCGCTGGCCTGAGCCTCGTTTGCACGAGTTTGTGTGATGTGAGAGCAGGAGCACCTACCTGGATGAGGAGGCTGATTGCCTGTGCCGCATGGAGTGAATGTACGGCCATGAAGTCGGCAGCGTGCAGCGCCTCAATGGTCTTTGTGTACAGTTGCTCGACAATCGACCCTGTGATTGAGTTTAGCATGAGTATATCGAAACTCGCGGGAAAAAAAAGTGCTCACGTTGAGGCAACATATCAACAGCCACAAGCAGCGATTCTGGGCCATGATAGGCGGTATGCTGGAGTTGAATTAGCAAAGACTCATGTCTAGCAACGGATATGAACTCACGCAGAGGAAGGCGTAGAATAAAGCAATCCACGCTCGACTCTTTAGAGCATACTGTGCAAAGGCATTTTCGCATTCTTCGACAAACGTTGGCATGTGAAGGATATTATGAATCCAAGCAAGATGACTCGTATGATAGGCCAACAATACACGAGCTTGAGCAAGCGAGACTATAAAATCAATCTGGGGTGGCAGCCAGCCGGGAGGATCATCGACTTCATTCAACAGATTGCCGCCAGTGAAGCGCATGTTAAGTATCCTCTGGCGGCCCAGCGCCAGGTTTTCCAGCGTTACGGGGGCATCATCTGGCACAGCGGCGCTGGGATGCTGCGACTTGGAAACCTCGGGTGAAGAAGCAGGATCGCACAACGAGTCAATGGTCAATGGACTGCCCGAGACCTCAGAGGTGAGCGAGACGGGCCCGTTATTTGATGATGTCCCGAGGCTGGAACCCTCACCGATGGACGAGGAGCGCTGGTGCTTCTTGCGCACAATGACCTTTTCGCGCGCGCAGGACGCCTCGAGCCCACGATCAATGCAAGAAGTGCAAGGTATGGACTTTGAACAACGAAGCTTTTTCTTGGCGCACGAGGTGCAGCTCAGAGGCTTTCGCTGGGATATACGAGGGGTGAAAGCCATTTGAGATGTCGTGTGTCGTTGCCGTATTGCTGCCGTCGTTGCCGCCGTTGTCGATCGTGGTGGGCGACAGCCTCACTGAAGGTCTTTCACTCACATTCACATGGATTCATCGCCAACGACAAGTCATCGGCAGTCTTTGCGATCGTGCTTGTGAGTGCCCTGGCAATGGCTCTAATCTCCGCGCTAGTGGAGGCCACTAGCCAGACGTGGGCGCTCGAGCACAGGGCCCCCGGCCATGATGCTCCAGGGCTCCCTCTTGCTGCAAGCATTTGGGGGGGCTTCTTGGCTTGCTTGCCTTTGGTAGGTGCCGCATCTGGCAATTACACGCTAAATCGGCTGCGCACAGGCAAAGACAGGCTTCTTACCCAAGGTAAATTTATCTACTACTAGTAGGTACCGTCACTTGCCGTTCTGGAGAGACTTTTTTGGCTGCCCAGGTGGCGTGGCGGCGTGTTTCGGCCGCTTTGGACCACTAGGAGCCTCGACAGAAGACACTGGAGTCTGCCAAGTACCCAGGTGCACTCAAATTTTGCATGGAGAAAATAGTCCCTCTACCTATTTGAGAGGGCACCAAAGGCAAGCAGGGGATGGAGAGCACGGTGGTGATGACAATGATGGTAATGAATAATCAGCAGCGGTACTCGGTATGGAGAAGACTGTCATCAGTAATAAGATTCGATGAATCTGGGATTCATGACATGAGAAAGAGAAAGAAGAAGAAAAAAGCAGAGGGAGAATGGAAAAGGGGAAAAGAGAAAAGGAAAGAGGAACAAGAAAAGGGAAAAAGAAACCATGAATTAAAAACATTTTTTATATAAAATATAATCATACCAAAGTCATGGCGCTGTACAAAGCATTGATGATGCCTCACTTACTCGCTCAACCCCTTGTTCTCTCCATTATTTTTTCCTTCCCTACCTTGGCAGTGTCCCTATATCACCATGGGATGGCTCCCTCTTTATTCGTGAATGTTCCCGTTTCTCCATTACTGTTCAACGTGGCCAGTCTGATACAATTTCTCGCTCCGTCTAATAGCCATGTGTCAGTACCGATCAACATATCACGCGGCCACAACGTGTCGGCGCTTCTGTGCTGGATGAACAAGGCAAAACTTACCTTCTACAGTTCCCAAATTCTTCTGGTTCCCCGCAAGCGCCGTGGCCGTCAGGCCAGGATCGCAAGAGTTCACTTTCCAGCCTCTGTCCCGAAAGAGCGAGGCGTAGTGCAGCATGATCATATTCAGGGCGCATTTGCTGCTCCTGTATATCGGAAAGTGCCTCATGGCCGAGCGATCCGAACTGTCTGTCTTGACCGACAGTGATCCCATCCTCGAGCTCATAAAGACAACCCTCGGGCTCGGCGACGTCGAGTTTTCGAGCAGTGGTATCGCGGCCTCGGTCACGGCAGCCGCCCCGAACACGTTGACCGAAAAGGTCTTTTCCAACAGATGCCGGGGGACTTGGGTCGTGTCCAGTCCGTCGAGCAGCACGCCGGCATTATTGATGAGCACATCGAGTCGTCCAAAGTCTCTCTCAATGCTGTCCACGGCTTGTTGTACCGACTCGTCCGATGTGACGTCTATTGTTTGTGTCGATAGGGAACGGGACAAGTCCTCTTCCAAAAGCCTCGTCACGGCATCGGCGCCGAGCTCATCGGTGAGACTGCCTATGATGACATGGTATCCCTCGTGTTTTGACGGACTCGAAAGGTTACGCGCGACCTCGTAACCAATTCCTCGGTCGGCGCCCGTGATGAAGACAATCGTGTCAGCAGCGCGACCTCTTGTTCGTGTACCTAGGGCCATCTCGGCTGTTCGTGGCGGGGAGTGATCAGTCTGCCAGGGGATGAGAGTTGTAGGCTTGGGTCTTAAGAGGTTTTTCCTTCTTTATCTCGGCATGTTCGCTACTCGAAAAGTTCCCCCTTGGTTACGCTACTCTCACCCGAGCAGGGAACCCGATGCGATTCCGAATGCCGTCGTCCCATTGTTCGCCTAGGCCTCTAGACTCTAGAAGCCCTCCAGGGTTGGGTGTTGCGAGTTGGCCCAACAGCCCCACCATCTCAGTGGACAGCAGCAACTTCTTTGGACCTAATGGAAATGCCGCCAACGGTACTTTTTTCCTCGGCGTCTCACATCACTTCTTGCTACACGGCAGTCATGTCACACACATACCTGTGGCAAGTAGTGATGTAGTATTATTCCGTACTTTACAGTGGATATAATGGGGAAACTATTCTTATCACTCTGACGTAACTCGGCCGCGGGTCAGATGGGCGCGGCCTTTCTTTGCTGACGGGTACTGGGAACCGGCCGGCCTTCCCCAGAGTTTGCAACCTTATAGGCAGACGAATAGGGACCATGTACGTACGTAGTAGTATTCTCGTTGACATGCGGAGACGGTGCCACATGTTGCGAGACTAGGTATCTCATAAGCGACTGCAGCTCGCTACAGATCTGCAGCAAATGCCCGCTGACGAATCCAGATCATGCACAGGCAGCTTGCTGCCGGCATGGCATAGCATGGCATATGCGCGGTAATAAGGCCTCGCTTAGACGCAGACAGTTGACAGAATTCCCGATTCCTTCGCTGGCTGCTACACTGCCAGGATTATGAAAACCTTGGCACTTTTGTTTCCAAACAGTTTGATTATAGTAATCATATAACATCATGTCTTCGACTAAAGTCGCTACCGCACAATTTTACAGCCATACCGATGTTTCAGCAAATCTGCAACTATGTGTAGATTATATGCGACAAGCCAAACACATTGGGGCAAAACTAATTGTATTTCCAGAAAGTACGTACCTACCGGCATTCCGTCGTTCCGGTTTGGTTGAAGAGCTAAAACAAAAGCCAGATGCCAATCGCTGCCGCGACTTCAAGACGAGAGAGGCAGCCTGGGATACATGTGAAGACCTAGATGGCGCTTTTGTTCGAGGTTTGCAAGCAGCCGCCAAGGACTTGGGCATCATTGTCGTCGCCGGCGTGGACATTAAGGGCACGACCAAGCCGGACTGCCATATCGCCCAGGTTATCATTAGTGAGAAGGGCGAGCTTTTGTACACTCATCTGAAGACGGTGCTTTGGGACTACGAGTACACGCTGTTTGTTCCCGGATCAAAGGAGCTCCGGGTTACACCAACCTCTGTGGGCAGGATTGGTCTCCTCATGTGTGCCGACGGCATCTGTCCCGAAGTGCCACGGATTGCCGCCCTCAAGGGGGCTGAGATTCTGTGCAATAGCTTGAACTCTAGGGGCCCTGACGAGATGCGCTGCCACGAGCCGTTACGTGCCATTGAGAATCATGTTTGGATGATTGCGTCAAACACGGTTGGTGGTCCTGAAGATGGGTATCCGGTAAGAGTTCAACAACGGATAAAACCAAGGAGCAACCAACATCAATAATCGAAACTGACAAAGACGATAGTGGACTGGCGGCTCCCAGATTATATCTCCGAAAGGGGACATTCTTGCATGTGCTGGGGAGACTGATGCTGGCCTGGTGTATGCAGACATCACGCCCGCCACTTCGTTCCCCAAGCATCTCGGCGGTGGTCTTGGACTGCTAAGCAAATTCAGACGGCCGGATCTCTATCTGGAATTACTCAAGCCGCTGAACACTCACGCTGCAGCATCAATGTATGGCCCGATACCTGATGACACTCCGAAGAAGCCATTGAAAATCGCCACGTTACAGTTATCCTGTAAGCAATCACATCCCCTTTTCTTCTCTTTTTCTCTTTTTCTCTTTTTCTCTTTTTCTCTTTTTCTCTTTTTCTCTCTCACTCTCTCAATGGCTAAGGTAATTCGAATGTTTAGGGTACCACTCCACAAAATGGACCATCACAAGAACACTCGGTCAAATCACCTATGCCGCCTCGCGTGGCACCCAGCTCACCGTGTTCCCAGAGCTGTGGTGTTTTCGTCGTGGTGAAGTGGCAGCTGATCCTGGAGCTGCCGCCGACTTCTCCGCCGACCTGCTGGAACAGATCAAGCAGACAGCGGCCAAGAGCTCCATATACGTGGTTGCCAATCTGGTTGAGCGCGCGGCAGCGACAGACGATGGCGGTTGCGCGAAATTCTACTCGACGGCCTACCTCGTTAGTAGCAGTGGCACAGTGGCGGCCCGATACCGAAAGGCGCATCTGGGCGAGGCAGAGCGGTCTTGGGCAACTGCTGGCAGCGATGGTCTGGTGGTGGCTGATACGCCAATCGGGCGCATAGGTCTCATGATTGGCAACGAGGTCTGGTTGCCCGAGGTGTGCCGGATCTTGACGCTGCGTGGCGCCGAGGTCATTGCGCATCCGGCTGACTGGGATCGCATCGAGGCTGCAACCATGGCGGCCGTAGAGCGCACCGAGGAGAATCGAACGCATCTGGTGTCGTGTGCGCGGACCGACAATCCGGCCAAGTTTGGAAGTCAGGTAGTCGTGGCTGACCGGTTCCGGTTCGGTCAGGTAAGTAGAATCAATGAGGCCGCCATCTTGAATGTTTCGTTCGAGGACTAACATTCTTCTTTAGTGTATCGCTCTCATGAGATATCCGACGGCGATTTGGTCGAGAACGGGCTTTGAGGAGAATATCTTCCATGAGCTGGACTTGATGGATTCGCATAGCAAGATGATGGGGTTTCACTTGGATCCGGTCGCAACAATGCAGCCAGCGTTATACGGAGTGTTGGCGGATATGAATGATATCAATTGATGAGCGATACCCTCATTTACCTCCTACAGAAGTATTATAGAAAGCATTTTCCCACAATACCATCCGAAGAACATCCTACGACTAGATTAGACAAGCACATTATCCAGCATATTGTCTCCTAACTGGCATACTCGGCATATTTTCGTTGTTTTTTTTTGATGGAATAACATCTTGTAAGCTCGAAACCGAAGTAATTGATGATTGTTACCCTTTTACGGAATCGCACGTTGTTAAGAGGATGTTGTGTTCTTGGACTTCATCGCGATTTCGAGGATTGTTCATCTTTTCCCAATAATCCTACTGCCCTATGGAAATAGCTTAGCCATTGAATCGGACTTCTTGGACTTGCTTGATCGCCGGCTTCTTCTTTCTCCAACAACATGGAATCTTCCCAAGCCGATTGCATACATCCCGAAAGCGTCGTGCAGTGTCGGGGGGTGGGGGTGCCATACTCCTTCCAACGTCGATACACCGGGTTTTTTCGACGGGGGTCTGGTCATGTCGTAAACTTCGATCATGAGGACGGGCAAGGAAAGATGGTTTCCACCAGCATCCAGGATGTGGTTGGCGAGATCGCGATATACTCGGATATCTTTAGCTATAAAGACCTATCTATCCCTTTCGGATTTTAAATATTTTACGTGGGTAATAACGTTAGTTCCCTATAAATTCAGGCGGTAAAGTCGGAAGTTTAACATCTTGTAAGCTCGAAACCGAAGTGATTAATAATTATTACCGTCTACGGAATCGCACGTTGTCACGAGGATATTATGCTCTTGAACTTTCTTATCGCGACGACCCGACCAAGGTATTGTTTGCAATTGTTCACCATCCAAAACAGTGACCATTGTCAAGCTGAGACCTTGTTTGTTTCCTTATGCTATTCAATTGCCTCGAGAATCCTCGTCCATATACCAACTGAACTTATTCGACAACACCATTCGCATTCCCGCCAAGTACCTGATGCCAGAGAAATACCGCGCCGTCGATGTAGCTGCTGGTGGTTATAACGGAACCGTGGTGTCAGTAACCAAGTTTACTTCGATCTAGATTCGGCGTTCTAGCTTATCGAGGTCTTTTAGTTTTTTAAGTACTTTGCTGTTGTCGTTAGATGGAATGCAAGAAGTCTCTTACTGACGGCACGGTGCTGGGTCCTGCAGTAGGGCACCCCAAAAAAGTAACCGCGTTACGGAGCACCAGAGAGCAAACTGTTGAAAAACCGCGATTTTAGCCTTATACGCTTACTCCTTCGTGGCTATAATAAGAAAGTTATTGAATTATGATATTCAAAGAAATCTTTTTTTTTTCCTTTTTTTTGTCTTATTTTCTCTTTTGTTTTCTCTCTTGTTTTCTCTCTTGTTTTTTCTTTTGTTTTCTCTCTTGTTTTCTCTTTTGTTTTTTTTTTTGTTTTCTCTTTTGTTTTTTTTTTTGTTTTCTCTTTTGTTTTTTTTTTGTTTTCTTTTTTCTTCTTTTTTTTTCTTCTTTTTTCTCTTCTTTTTTTTTTTCTTTTTTGTTTTCCTTTTTTGTTTTCTTCTTTTCTTTTTTTCCATTTTTCTTTTTTGTTAAAAAATCCCAAAAGGGGGGAAAGGCAAAGGAGGGGAGGGGGGGGGGGGGGTGGATTTTTGCTGCTGTAAATAGAGTGATTCCATTCAGATCTTGGTTTTTCAACAGTTTGCCCTCTGGACATCCGTACCGCGTCGGGGTGGAGTGACGCACATACACAGTATGTAGTTATGGATGAGAGATCGGTCCGTGCACGATGGTATTCAGTCACAATACTATTACAACCTACCAACTATGTACTACATTCATTTTGTCTTCCAGGTATTACTCCAACGCCTCAGTTCTTCTGGTAACGCACAGCGGGAATCAGCTGGCCACGTGCTTGACTGGCCTCAACGACCTCATCGATCCGTTCCAGTTGGCGATGAATGGCCGGATTATCGTTATACAAGTGTCCAAATCGGTCACCGTATGCCTCCTGCATGGCAATACGGGAGTCTCTGTGAGGCGGTTTGTAGGGGATAACTGGGTCAATCTGGCCAGTAGGCCTTATGGCTGCATCATGTGCACGAATATTGCCATGGCGGGGACCGAGGATGGGTCGCATACCACCCGACCAGATGAGCCACAGTTGGCCGTGCTGGCGTAGTGCCTCCTTGAATCGGGGATGGAATCTTCCTAAGCCGATCGAGTACATGCCGACTGCATCGTGAAGGGTCGGGGCCGCACCGTACTCCTGCCAGCGGCGGTAGACGGGGTTCTTTGAGGGGGGTCGGGTCATGTCATAGATTTCGATACAGTTTTGTCGGATGTTCTCAATCATCAGGTTGGGTAAAGTCAAGTGACCGGCAACGGCATCAAGGATCTGATTGGCGAGGTTGCGGTATTCGCGGATGTCTTCGGCTGTATTGACTTGTCTGTCCCGTTCGGATCTCAAGTGCTTCACCGGATAGTCACGTTGGTTTCCCACAAGTTGAGGCGGTACAGCCGAGGGTTTCCCGTATTAGTACGGACTGTTCCCTGGGGAACCTGAGGCCACTCGGGAAAGGCAATTCGAGAAGCGATGATAGCTCCCGTCATTAATATGGGTCGCTTTAAGTCCCGCTTATATCGAGCGATTGCTTCGTAAGTCTCTATACGGATGCCATTATAAATTGAAACCTCTGGGTGCTCTGCGAAAGAAAAGTGGACGACGCGAGGCTCGAGATCTAAAGCTGCGGTTAGGGTTCCCGAAAGGTTCTGTAATCCCAGATTATTAGCATGCTGGTCCTCCTGAAGGAGTACCTCCCCGCGGCCTTATGGGCCGAATGTTCGGTCCGCAATAAGCCAACTGGGAAGCCTACAGAAGTATGGGATACAAACTGGATGCAATGGGTTTTTCTTTCGTGATTTGGGTGGGGAATGAGACCCTCGGGTCGCCTCAGGCCTCTGGTGGGTGAAGATGGCCGGGTGGCGGGGGTTTTATGGGTTAAGGAAAGAACGGCCTTCGGGCAGCTGTTTATATCTAGCTCTAGCATTCGGCCAAAGGTAGATACGTTCGGAGTGCTCGCAATGAATCGCCTATGGTATACTGATTATACGGTCGATTGTTTGAACTTCTGTTCTTTCCATGTTGACGATTGTTCCCTTCCTGCAATTATTAGTATTATTTAATACGATAGAGGTTAATTTAATCCCTTTTGGGCCACCTTAACCAGCTTCTTTCCTTTCGACACCCTCAACTTCATTGGGAACCTCCCATCTATTCCTAACTCTTCTCTTATCTTGACACTGACAACTTAGAGGAGTCCCAGGAATTTCACAAACCATTACCGCTGCTACTATACTTGCTACACCTTTTCCCAGACACCATTGGTGACTACAGATATGGCAGTTCGTCGCGCAGATATCCAGGGCATTCTAGATGAGATCGAGGCACTCCGTCGCGAAAACCAGCATGCAGACGATGAAGGTCTGCAGGATGTTGCCAATACACTAGCAGCAGCCCTGGAGGTCGAACCTCGCATTATCTATTTTTCCTTTAACAAACACCCGGAAGTCCTGGTTTACGACAGAATTCGACTAGGAACCTACGAGATAATTGCGCAGTATAAGCGTGATAAGCGACGATCGATCCTGATGCCCGGCGACTTTGTCGCTTTTCGAATTGCCTTTCTCGAGTGGCCCCAGGTTCCCCAGGGAAGAGTCCGTAGTAATACGGGAAACTTCCATACTCCTGCCAACGTCGATACACCGGGTTTTTTGACGGGGGTCTGGTCATGTCGTAAACTTCGATGCAATTTAGTCGCATATTCTCGACCATCAGGTCGGGCAAGTCGAGGTGGTCGGCAACGGCGTCTAAAATCTCGTTGGTGATATGGCGGTATTCGCGGAAATCTTTAGCTATAAAGACCTATCTATCCCTCTAGGATCTCAAGTGCTTTACGGGGATAGTAACGTTAGTCAATGGTTGGGCCAATGACAGGGAGAGGACCCAAGCCGTTCCTGATTTCACCAGAGCAATCGCACTAGAAATTGGCGCTGCAATCGATCACCCTCCCCACCTGATTTATCTCTCCTTGCACCACTATCCCGACGTCGATACTATCTCGGGAATGAGTGTTCGCGCCATTATGCGATTTGACGTAACTGAGAGGGAGAAGGCAAGACCGGTACTGAACCTGGGCACCTGGATCGCAAACAAGGTCACCTTCCCTCAGTGGCCACAGATCCAGGACGGCCATGTCCAATCCAATACTGCAGACGGTCGCAACTATGGTCATAACATCATGGGAACAGAGGTTATCACCCCAATCAGATTCTTGAAGCCTGAGAGCCAGCGTTGTGCGGAGAATGGTGAGGACGTACGCGCCTACAGACGCCTTGTGCGAGGAGATTTTGGGAATTGTTACTCGATACCTCAGTCTCCCCGGGCACTTGATCAAGAACATCCGCCAGAACTGCCATCTCATTCACGATATGAGACACCCTCTTTCAAAGTCCTGAGTTTACCATGGATAGGCTGACTCTCGCTCTATGCCCACCTTATACGACATCGTGGGGATGTATACCATTGGCCTCGGTCGATTCCACCGGGGCTTCCGTCAGGCCATGATCAACCATGGACAGACATGGCTGATTTGGGTTGGTCCAACGAGACCTAAACTGCAGGCTCGAATAGGTGAGCCAGGAATGCGGGATGCCCCGATGCGCTACGATGGCCATGTCGATATGGTAAACCCATACCGTGCCCCGACCTCCCAGCCCGTCATCCAACAACATATCTTTCATGCGAGGCAACACATCATCATGGCTGCAAGGGAGCTTTCACGTTCCATAGATGGGAGCCCGTGCAAGAATCCATAAGATAGGTTTATTGATTCCAAGCATCGACATCTATGCAAACAACACTCAAGTGATACGGACGAATCGCCAATATCAGAAGCTTGTCCTTGAATCATTTAGAGTACCGTACTCTATAGACACATATATAGTGCTTTGCCGGATTCGTGTACCCTGCAGTGTGCTCATTGCAATTGAAGGAAGGAGCATTACTATGTGATACACCGAGGAGGCAGGAACACTAAAATTCTAGGCTGCTAATTCCGCAATTCTGACCGTTGAGCTGCAGACTTTACTTAAAGTATCTCAGCGTCAACAGAAGCGCAATGTAAGTTTCGGCATAGCATTTGAGGTTTCGACTCTTTCTCATATAATCATACTAGGAGCGCAAGAAGAAGAAGCGCCAACAGCGCAGCAAGCAGCAACAGCAGCAACAGACACAAGCCGGATCGCAGGTCCAGGTCCAGGCCGAGGTGCAGGCCGAGGTGCAGCCCGATGCACAGCCTGTCGCCGGCGGGGACCCCCTCCCCCCTTACCCCCCTCCCGGCCGCAACCCAACAACAGAGGAGATCCAAGCACAGCTGGCCCTGGCCGCGTCCGTAGAGCTCCCTCCCTCCACGGCTTTCCCCACAAGACAGGCCTCCCCAATGGACGAGGACGAAATAACCTGGAGCGATGATGAGGACCAGCCAAATCTAAGCAGAGCATAAGTAAATGATGTTGCTTGCATCGTGTGTTGTTCTCATCTTTGCACTGTAAGCCACTAGGATCCCGACGACAGTATTGAATACCTGGTTTTCCTTATGTCGAAGAGCTTCCCAATTGCAGTTCATTCCTTATTTTCTTGATATTTTGGCTTGTTATTTGTTTAGTTAATATGATGGGTGGTACTTTGTACGATACGCAGATCTGTATCCGATTTTATTCTCGGCTGGGGTATAAAACCAACTTATAGAAGGAGCAGTTAAAACCATAATTATCGATTATAATAAAAAGGAACCTGGAAGAATATATTTCTTTTTAACGTATTAAGATTCTATAATGCTTTTCCCCTCCTTCTTTTTCTTTTTCTCTTCCCTCTTTTTTTTCCT